GCCTGCGCAGTCCTCGTCGCTTCCTCCCGGCGGGGCGGGGATGACAGTTGGGATGGTCGTGGCTTAAGCAAGTACCACGTCGCGTGTGCTTTTTCCGAAGTATTTGCTCCTTTTCTTCCCCTCCCACTTGATTTTCATCGTATTCCTCAGAAAGTAAGAAGTCAAAGTGTCTTTTTTTCGGGTGAGTGTCAAAGGTCATACAATTCGTTTGTGACAAATTCTGTTTTAGAACCAAATACTCAGAATTTGGCCGGGGTGCTTGTCACGACACACCTTGGATAAAACAGGGAGTGGGTAAACAGGTATTCAGACACGCTGCTCGGTGGGATTTTATTCTCGTGATTTTTTTGTTCAACGATTTTAAATTATGTTTGACGATTTACAGATACGCACTGGACAGAACTGTGCTTCCTCAAATTTGTCTCCTGTTAACGATAGGTTTTCCTTTAGGAGTGCACGGAAACTAAAAGTCTTAATTTTAAAGCATCCCAGTAACTTAACAGACTTAAAGGCGACTCAGTCTGCCAATATTTATTGAGCAATTATTATGTGCCAGACACTGTTGTAGAAACGGGTATACAGTAGTCAACAAAATGATGTATTTTGTTTTTAAAGTCTTATTAAATTACCAACTAGGTAGAAAATAATAGTTTTGGTATGGTGGATAAAAAGCATTTCACGAGGTACAAATGGGGGTATCAATCAAATTAGTAACAAACAATGGGGATGAAGATAATGAATTAGAGAAAAATGTACAAGATAAAAAATAGCTGAATTTCATGACTGATTGCATGGGAGACAAAGTACAAAATGACCTCCTTAAATTGACTTGCGAATTAAACACTAATACATATACACTATTAGGGTAAGGTTCAGCAGCAGTAACAAATGGGTACATTGTTTTTTTCTAACATTCTGCGGTTGAGATTAGGCTGATTCCCAGTTAGAACACATGCCTAGTTTTAGGATTCAGACCCGTGGGGGAATGTAGAGGAGGCAACTGATTGATGTCTCTCTCTCAAATCAGTAAAAATTAAAAATAAAAAACGTCAACAACTTCACGTTTTAAAAACTGGACTCAAATGATACTAAATGCAGAGATTAAAAATTAAAAAGGTTTAAATCTATAATCTAAAGGAAACCTTTAACATGGAATATTGTCTTTATGAAGCCATTTTACTGGCTCATACTTCGTTGTTTTCTTTAACCTAACTAGGTATTATTAGTTTTATATATTTCTTTAATTCAAAAGCATCAAATTTCTAATGATAAATTTTCTGCGAATAAATTTTAAAACTTTTGAATAAAAACATACTTAAAAATTAGCTTTCCACACATAATTGAAAGATTTTAATTTTGTTTTGTTTTTTATTATCCCAGCAAATGTTACACTAGATAAAATGATTGGGGAAATACAAATAGATTAATTAAAAACACAGACTGATTATTCATATCTACTACATTCAAAAGTATGCAAAACAATTTATATTGCAAAGCTGTAATTTCTTTTCCTAACAAATCTTTATTTTATAAAATTGTAGTGTTGTACTGATTCAATTTTAATACAAAATACTTATATATACAATACAATATAAAAGTAAACTGTGGTACAGTGCCTTCCACGAAGGGATATATTAAGGCGCTTTACAAATATACTAATAGGTTGATCCACATTACTTTTTAAGATTAAAACAAATAGGCTATTGTTTCATTTTAAATACCAAATGGATTTTATTTTTGTTTATTAAAGAAATTATCTAAAAGTACCTTAGGTAACAGCAGCAGCAATATCTAAAAATCCTCCCATTGTATTTTCTAATTTCTAACATATTATTAAGTCAGAATAAAACATTTCCACTCACAGTTTTGCACTTTGCAACAGCAGAAGGTAATCACTTTTTTAAAAAGTCAATCTCAAAGTGACTTCTTAGTCATACATTCTATAATTTCTATTACAAATAAGGTAGAAAAGATACAGCAATAGGGCCTGCCTTAGAATGTCACTGAACAATACATAACAGTATCTACAATTACATAATTATAGAACACTTTATAAATACTATTGATATGCATAAAAGTGTAAGTATAACAAAAACAGATTTTAACAAGTAGGAAATTTTTTTAAAAGAAAACATGTATAACCGATGTTTTCATTCCATTTCAATTGAAAGCATATAGAATTTTGATGTTCTCATTTTTTGGTCAGGAAGCACCAGATTCTACACTGGAAGAACTGGATATAGTTTGGGAATAAGATAGCTAATCAGTATCTCCAAACTATTAAAACTACAGATACCAAAGACTTGTACATGGCTTCAGAAAAACAAAAAGTTAGGTAATTTGAAAATATAAAATTTGTAGTGTCTGTTATATTTGAAAAATAAGGGCAAACAGATTTTGTGGGGAAAGAGGGGAACAAGATAGCACCTTAGTTTTCCTATTACATACATTTAACAAAGTTGGTTTTGTACTGTACTACACCATAATAAAACAACTAAATGGAAATTTAAATGTGACTGAAAAAGCCCAAGAGCAAGAAGGATGTCTTAAAATTTTGAGTACTGAGCTAAAAATTCTTGAACTATTTTATTTTTATAGAACTAATCAAATGTTCCATGAAATGCAGAACGTCACCTCATAGTGAATTTTCTTAAAATTGTCTGATTAGAAGTCCTTCCGAAATATTTCTGTCAAGTCTGTAGAGCCAACCATGTCAGTGCCCTTAAAAGGGTGTTTAAAATGTCTCAGTGCTGTACCAGGCATTCATAGGGTTACTTTATCACATGGTATAGACCTTTTCCATCACAAATCATCAATGTTTATACAAGATGTGCTAATCTGAACACTAACCAGTAAATTATAAGCAAATTTCTTAGTTTAATATATCAGTGTTCTTATAGGACAGAGGTCTTTAACCAAGAGTTTATGATGTTTCAACATGACCAGAGCCCCTAAAACTGCACACATTTTATGCATTGTGTTGATGTCCATTATTCTGGGAAGAGTCCACATGATTTCATCACATTTTCAAAAAATCAAAATGATCCCGAAAGACCCATCCATTACATAGCGTGTTGTGCAGTGGTTTCAGGCTGAGCTCTGAGAGCTATCTATAGAAACATGAGAACTGTGAGCTAATCTTCTTTGCCCTCCCAGGTTCAATTGAAATAGCTTTGAATTGATATGATTTCCATAAGCTTTCATATAAAAAAAGCTAAAAAGTCTGAAAATCACTAAAATTATGCCTCTTATCCACAATTATTGTTTTGATAAAATTCCTTATCAGTGGAGCTTAAGAAAAAGAAAATATAAATTTTACTAATATAAGAATAGAACCCTTTCCCCATCCTAAAAGATAAGTTAAATATAGTTTGGTATGAGAGCACAAGTCTCCTTGTAACCTAAGCCTATATAATAGGAATGTTAAAAAACATATTATTTAACCTTAAAATAGGTTAGGAGGACTTGAATTTCAACTAGGACCACTATGTAACTTTCTCTAATTACTAATGGCCCCTAAATTAAGAGTTAATGATTTTTTCATCAATCAATAGCCCATAGGGAAAATATTGCCAAATAGCCAGCTTTTCCTTTGCCAATAAACAATCCATGTATGCAGCACTGTGCTGAAAAGAGGAAACCTGCAACATTAGTGATGACATAATGAAAACTGTCACAATATAGAAAAAGTACCGTTCTAGTGAGTATCCATAATTTCTAATCAGTTTCATATGAAACTGAAAACTTTTAAAATTTCAAAGCAAAGATATGGAAAACCTTAGCTTTTAGTATAAGATATTTTGATTCATGGCAGCTTTGTTCCCCTTTTAAAACTGGAAGCAGCACAAACTGCAAATATTGGAATTTTTAATAAATAGATGCAAATAGACACGTAGTATATAAAATGAAAAGAGCAGCCCTCATACTTGATGAAAATATATATCCACAAATATAGTCAGGCTTCTTTTCTAACAATATTTTGATGTCTTTTCCAAGATAACAATGGATAGACTGCAGGAGAATATGCTTCTGTTAATGGTTTTAATTTCAATAGCAAACTAACTTCTGAATATAAAGAAAGAAGACCAAAAAGTCTTATAAGAGCAGTAATCTAAGATGTACAGGAATCTCCAGAACAAGAATTAAAAAAAAATTCAAGGACTGGCATTCTGTGACATAACCTTCTGACTGTAATCATGTAATACATCAACCCAAATAATAAAAAAATTTCATATAAGGCAAAAACAAACAAACTAAAAAACCCACCTGGAAGCAGCATTAAAATTACCAATGTGTAAAGAAAAATGGTAGTGCTTTGTTTCCTTTAATGACAGTAATTCTTGAGAAAGAAATGCTAGATTAAATATTCCACAGTGAGAAGTAAATGAAGTTTATCTATTTTTCCCTTCTGATGAGCATCCTGTTTCAACCCTGTCACCCTGTATTTCTTAGTTCCAAGACGTGAATTATACAAATTATCATTAGCCTAGGAACACTCACCACCATGATGGCTTAATTTCGATAGCTTATTTTGTACCAAAAACAAGGTTATGGGAGTGGGAAGGGAGGAGGGGGGACTTTGTAAATGTGGGGTATATTTCATATTTGGTTAAAGCAAAATAAAACTAAAACTGTCTTTCAAAAATTTTTCAAAAACTCTTTGTCTTTTAAAATGATTTAACATATGTACAAATAGATACCAGGCTTCTCCTTTTAAACAAAGCATACTTTTTTTAATTATTTTCAGTACTTTAAGTACCAGGAACTGACTATAATATTCAGTTCATAATTTACTTTACAATTTTTTTCTAAATTACTGATTATAAAGGCTGGAATAAATTAACATTTTAAAAGGATTTTCCATAATTTAGGAACATAAAATATTGTGCAGAGCACACACACACCTCTGTCACATTTGCATAATTTTACACTCAGAGCCTAAAAACTCCCTGCATTTCAGGCCTTTTTGCAAATCCTCATTATAATGATTTCCTAGTGTGTTAAACATACACTAAATCACGATTTTTGATCTCTGAGCCTGTGTGCTGATCATCTTCATCTGACTGTTGCCCTGAGCCTTGCGAATTAATATATTCATATTCAATAGGCTTTGGATAATTATATGGGTAGCCATTGTCATCAAAAAACCTCCTAAAGGTAAATTCATAAAAAGCATGTTCAGGGTGCTTTCCATTTTTATACCATCCGTTTAGAGTGTCATTCACATTTTCTTCCTCTTTATCATCACTCCATAATTTGTCAGGATCAACAGGATCAAAATTTGATGTATCGGTTGGGTGTGTGATTTTAGGAATATATGAAGCAGGTTGTTGTCTCAGGTCACTGGAGAAATCAATTGTTTTAAAAAATGGATGAGCTTTTATTTCATCAGCACCATTCTTGCCTAAGCGATCATCTGGTCCTCGGCAAAGTTTGATTATAAGATCAGAGGCTTCAGGACTCAATTTAGCTTGAGGAGGAATATGAAGAGATGTTTGCCAGTTGATAACCTTTAAAAAATATTTTTTAAAAATTAGAAGGGAAAAGATAATTAAGTTCAAAATTTTCTCAAAATTTTATACCAAAAGTCTTACCAAACTATTTGTAAATTTTTTAAAATATATTTTTTATTGATTTCCGAGAAGGTAGAAACATCAATATGAGGGAGAATCCTCAGGGGGTCAAACCTGCAACCAGGGCATGTGCCCTGATTGGGAATTAAACCCTTCAGCCAATGCTCTATCCACTGAGAAAAACTGGCTAGGGCCTATTTGTAAAATTTTACAATAAATTGCATGGTATTTAACCTTCCTTACCTTTAATAATGAATCATTGGTGGGAAATAACCTTTCCTCTCATCCTCTCCTTTTCAGGCAACTTCATATTAGAAGACTCACTATAAATTTTAGCACTACTTGTAGAAATGACTTTCTACTGTGCCTCCCTGTTCTTATATATTTACTTGTATCATAATATCTCTAATATTCTGTGGTTCCTATTTATGCCTGTGCTCTTCTACTATGCTATAAAATTCCATAAGACTATGTATTTTTATTTGTCTTTGTATTTCCTAGTGCTTGGCAAATTGCCTGACATATATGTTCAGTAAACACTTATTATGGTTTTGCCAAAACCGGTTTGGCTCAGTGGATAGAGCATTGACTGAAAAGTCCTGGGTTTGATTCCAGTCAAGGGTATGTACCTTGGTTGTGAGCACATCCCCAGTGGGGGGTGTGCAGGAGGCAGCTGATCAATGTTACTCTCACATCGATGTTTCTAACTCTCTCTCTCCCTTCCTCTCTATAAAAAGTCAATTTTATATATATATATTAATATATATATATATATATATATATGAAAGAAAGCGAGCTGTAAAAAAATAATAAAAATAAAAACATTTTTTAAAAAAGAGAATGATATATGAGTACAGTTTATAAACAAGGGAGAATATAAGAGTGTGATGATGGGGATGAAGGAGATTAGAGTCCATGGATAGAATCTTAGTGGGTTCCTATATCCTTTCAAGTTCATTCATTTAAAAAATTTTTAATTGATTTTAGAGAGAGTAAAAGACATCAATTTGTTGTTCCACTTATTTATGTAGTCATTGGTTGACTCTTGTATATGCCCTGACCAGAGATCAAACCTGCTTGGCTTAATAGGACGATGCTCTAACCAACTGAGCTACCTGGCCAGGGGCAAGTTCGTTCTTTAATTCCAGAATAAGATGCTCTATATATCAGTAAAGAACTGATAAACATCTGTGATGTAAAGGACTTTGTGACAATTCTTTTGGTATAGATTCTATACCTTACCTTCATTTGTGTTTCTAATGGTGTTTGTGCCAAAAAAGGAGGTTGTCCCACCAACATTTCAAAAAGAATTACACCAACACTCCACCAATCACATAACTGTGTATAGCCTAAAATAAGATACCAAAGTTATAGTTACTTATAAGCACTTCAATTAATATAATCATAATATTAAGCCACCAATTATACCATAAAATTAACAATTTTATTATAAACCTAAACACTAAGCTCTATTCTAATCAAGTTTCAGCTGGAGATTGTTTATAAAACAAATATTTCACCTGTTCTTAACAACACTTCAGGTGCAATATAATTGGGAGTTCCAACCAAAGAATGTGCTAGACACCGCTGGTGCTGGCGTGCAGCTCTCCGTTCTAGTGGCTTCAGTCTATCTCCACATCGACAGTTAGAAGGGTCACCCCATTCATTACTGAAATCCATGCTATCTTGCCGTGAATGGTCACCTATAAAGTAAAAAGAAATAAAAGCAGTAAGAATAAGAGTAAACCACAAGTCTGTTTAATTTTTTAGCATCACGCTTTATAGTTAACAACACTCGTCCCTTATGACAATGTATATCAGATCACTGATGGTGTTTATTAATGTCTACAGCTAGTGATCAAATGTTACACTAAGAAAAATTAGCCCAAGATTCAGAAATGTATTCAATGTTAAATGATGACAAAGTCAGGAGTAGGTAGGATTAAGAATCTGTTACTCGGACTGCTCCCCATTACTACTCTGAACAAAGTTCTAAACAAATTAGATAAGTGTTTCATTCATTCAACAAGTGACAATGATAAGAAAGACAGGGTTCTCTAAGGCAGCTTCTCTGTAGGGAAGAAACACAATAAACAAATATGTAAGAAACAGGGCTTTTGGTCAAGATGGCGGTATAGGTAAACAGTACTCCCACAACCACATAAAAATTTATAATTAAAAGCCATCATTCAGAACCATCTAAAGTCTACCTGAATGAAAGTTCTACAACTAGGGCGTTAAAGAAGGAGCACATCAAAACTGGTAGGAGGGCCCTAACCGGTTTGGCTCAGTGGATAGAGTGTCGGCTATGGACTCAAGGGCCCCAGGTTCAATTCCAGTCAAGGCATGTACCCTGATTGTGGGCACATACCCAGTAGGAGGTGTGCAGGAGGCAGCTGATCCATGTTTCTCATTGATGTTTCTCTCTATCCCTCTCTCTTCCTCTCTGTAAAAAATCAATAAAATATATATTTTTAAAAAGACTGGTAGGAAGCGCAGAGATGTGAGGAGGACATCTCGGGAATCTTGCTGGTCCCACATCCATGTGTGGTGGTTTAAAATTGGGAGGGATATCTTGGCTTTAGAGGCTTCCCTGAGGACCATGGAGTCACTGCCCCACACCAGGTCACTAGTATAAGGTTCCAGTACCGGGAAGAGAAACTGCCACAATTCTGGCTATAAAATCCAGCAGTGACTGTGGCTGAGTGACATGGAGACTGCAGGAGTCCTACGCAGTTCCTCTTAAAGGACATAGCATGGGACTTACTCAGTCTCACTCCGAGGTCCAAAACTGGGCAGCAGCTTGAAAAGAATGTGGGACATTCAGGGAGGAATGAATTTGTCTTGAATCAGGTTAAGAGATGGAGGGGCAGTTTCCTCCCATACAGAGTGTTCCTTTGCTCAGTCAGGAGCACATGCCTGGGTTTGGGCTCAATCCCCAGTGGGGGTGTTCAGGAGGCAGCTCATCGGTGATTCTCTCTCATCATTGATGTTTCTATCTCCTTCTCCTCCCTTTCTGTCTGAAATCAATAAAAATATATATTTTAAAAATTGATTTAAAAAAAGAAAAAGAAAATGGCAATAAATGCTTATCAACAATTGAATCTAAAAATCAAAATAAATGAACAAGGAGTATAATGAATAAAATAAACTAATGAATAAAATAGAACCAGAGGCATGGAACATGGAACAGACTGACAAATCTAAGAGGGAAGGGAGAGAGGGGACAGAAAGAGATTAACCAAAGAACTTATAAACAAATATGCCTTACCTATTGGACACAGAAAATAGAGTGGTGAAGGCCTGGGAAGAGGCGGGAACTGGGTGGAAGAAAGCAATGGGTGGAAAAAAAGGGGGACATCTGTAACACTCTCAACAATAAAGGTTTAAAGGTAAATTAAAAAAAAACAAAAACATAGTGATGCATCCCATGTTGAGAATCAACTGGGGTGATGTGACAAATTGAAGTGACATATGTAAAAAACAAATAGAAATCAACCATTTAAAAACTAGGGCAAGGCATTCTATGATAGAAACAACAGTAACAGAGAAAAGACCAGTGTAATTAATAAAGAGGAGAATGATAGGAAATGGAGTGGGAACCAGTGCACATGGATTTTGTAAGCAAAAGATGTGGTTTTCCTTTTATTCCAAGTACAGTGAGAAGACATTGGAGAGTATGAAACAAACAAAAAATGATAAGATTTGATTTACATTTAAACCAATAATGGAGGACAAAAGTGAAAAGAAACCAGTTAAAAGGCTATTACTCCAAGTATACAGTTTAACATACAAGTTAAGCTTGGTAACTGGGAAGGCTGAGCCCAATCACTGATGCTAATAGTGGTGATGGAGAAAATTTCAGGATATATTTATAGGTGGAGTAAGCAGGACATACTGATGAATTACAAGTAAAGTGTATGGGGGGAAAAAGAATCACATAATGTTAACTTTGAAAGATCTATTAGAAATCCATGTGAAAGGGAGACACCATTTCTGGAGAGATCTGGAAGTCACTGACATGGAGATGGTAGTTAAAGCCATGATTAGATGATATCAGCTAGAAAAATATGTTTAAAATTAACCTAACTGTAATGTTTGATTAAAACACAATTTATATACTCTGAAGATTTTCAACCAGTAGACTGGAATAGAGGCTAAAAATCATATTTTTAAGATGAACCCCACGTAATTCAGGTGAATCTGGAAGACTAATATTACATTAAGCTGAACATTAAAGTAGGTGAGGCCGAAACTGGTTTGGCTCAGTGGATAGAGCGTCAGCCTGCAGACTGAAAGGTCCCAGGTTCGATTCCGGTCAAGGGCATGAACCTTGGGTTGCGGGCACATCCCCAGTAGAGGGTGTGCAAGAGGCAGCTGATGGATGTTTCTCTCACATTGATGTTTCTAACTATCCTTCTCCCTTCCTCTCTGTAAAAAATTAATAAAATATATTTTTATATAAAAAATAAAGTAGGTTCAAGTGTCCCAGTTCTATCCATTTACTGTCAATCTACTGTTATTCACAGAAGGCTAATATTACTTACCTCAGAGGATTGCTCTAAGCATTAAATTAGAATATATGTAAAGCACCTAGTCATAGTAAGTATTCAACAAATGTCAGACAGACTTACACTTCCATTAGCACTTGAAGGGATCTTGGTGAGGCACTGTGGTGTAGTAGAAATAACATGGGCCCTGTAATCAGACAAACCCGGGTTCAAAGCCTAGCCCTTACACTTATTTTCTGTGTGACCTTGGGCAAGTTACTTCATCTAATTTCAGCTGTCATTTCTTTATTCTGTCTTACTAGAGGCCTGGAGCACAAACTTGTGTACAGGTAGGGTCCAGCTGGCCCATCTCCATGGGAACAATTAGGCTGGACCAACCGGAGGGAGTGGTTGAGGGCCATTGGCCGGCCCCACCCCCAATCAGGATGTAGATGGCTGATTGGGGGCAGGGACTGACAGGACAGAGGTGAGGGAGTGGGGGCAGCAATCAGGGACCAGATCAGGCTGGTTGGCTGCCACAGTGCATGTCATGGTCACTGGTCATTCTGGCCGTTACACCTTTCCAGTTGCTGGGCTTTTATATGTACTGACTGCATTAATAAATCATACTAATATATACAAACTTTTATTTTACTCACCACTCTGGTAGTACTTAGAATCATGTGTCCATCTGAAGCCAGTGCAGAGGCCAAAGTCAGTCAATTTAATATGACCATCACGATCAATCAAAATGTTATCCGGTTTAATATCTCTATGAATAAAACCCATTTTATGAACACTTTCAACTGCACAGGTAAGTTCTGCAATGTAGAATCGTGCCAGATTTTCTGGAAAGATGCCCATTCTAATTAGTAGGCTCATCATATCACCCCCAGGAATGTAGTCCATTACAAAATATAAATTGTCCTTATCTTGGAATGAATAATATAGACGAACTACCCATTCATTGTCAGCTTCGGCGAGGATATCCCTCTCAGCTTTAACATGAGCAACCTGATTTCGAAGTAGAACATCTTTCTTTCGAAGAGTTTTTGTTGCATATAATGCCTTAGTATCTACTTTTCTTGCTAGACAGACTTCACCAAATGCTCCTATTCCTAGTGTCTTTATCTTCACAAACATAGACTTGTCCATTTTAGCCCTCTTAAGACGGATGTAATTAGACTCTTTTTGGCAAAGCATCTTTCTCATTTGATCCTGGGCTTCTTGAGATAATCCAACCTAGTAGGTAAATAAACTATATGTTAAATGAAGAATTATTCTCTATACAAAATATTAAGAAATAGCTTGGAAAAATTCAAGCATATATTTAAAGGTTAAGTGCATACTTTTTAATAAAGCATGTTAGAAATCTAAAATATATTTCAGAGAAAAATCAATTATCAAAAGTGCAACTTAAGGGATAGTTAAGAGGATATAAAAGGTGAGTATAAGATCCTACTGTGGAGAGCAAGAAGGTGATACCAATGGTCAGCTTTCTACTCTTCTCTAATGTTCTCAAAAAAATGTTCCCAATGTGCAATAACCAAACATCTGTTCACATGCATCCTCATCTATCATTTTATGCATATTCATTCCAAATTACAAGATACTTTGCCTTCATTATATTCTTCTCTTTGAAAATATTTGGTCCTCAAATACTCTTCCATTTTATCCTTCATGAAAAGAAATTCCATTTCAAGTTCATTTATTCTAGAAAATTAATGTATTAAGAACAGAAGAATGTCTTCTCTAACCTAACTATTCATTAATATTCTTTCCTTTATCTTTCTCAAAGCATTAGAATTAAGGGTAGGACTCACAGCCATAACTAACACAAAATGTAAAGCGTTTCTCCTACTTTATTTTTCTTTCCTATTTTGTTTTAAACTAACAATTTATATGGTTACAGGGTAGTTTGGAACATTTCAAAGAATAGACCGAAACCAGTTTGGCTCAGTGGATAGAGCGTCAGCCTGCAGACTGAAGGGTCCCAGGTTCAATTCTGGTCAAGGGCATATACCTTGGTTGCAGACACATCCCCAGTAGGTGGTGTGCAGGAGGCAGCTGATCGATGTTTCTCTTTCATCGATGTTTCTCTCTATCTCTCTCCCATCCTCTCTATAAAAAAAAAATCAATAAGATATATTTCTTAAAAAAAGAATAGTCAGTGTGACTTATTAAGATTATTTTACACAGGTAAAAACCCAAACCAACTTCTAACTAGATATGAAATACCTAGATTTAGAAGGAAAAGTTTATTTTTGGCTAGCTATTAACTAATGAAAAGTCTAATTCTAGAAATGTAAGACTAATTAAAATATAGCAACCTCATGCTTCTGTTAGGATGTGTATTTGCATGCAAAATATTTTAAGAAGGGTGGCATGCCAGTAGTATAGAACTGTTTCTCTTAAAATCTTACTTGCCTACACAGTAATGGAGGCTACAGAAGTCAGCAAAGCTTCCAACACCATAAAAGTTTAAATCAGCTATTAGTGAAAGTGAAGAGGAAAAAGGAAAAATAAACTAAGAAAATACATACAGACAGACTTTAGTAAGAAATCTTAAGAACTAAAATATGGATAAATCATATAACCATGGTATTTATCTAACAAATTTAATTTATAGCAGGAATTACAACACTGTGAAATCAGATTTAGAGAAATAATTTTTTTAAAATGGCTTTCTTAGATTGTGTGAGGAAATTTCATTAAAAATTTAAGCTTCTTGCCGAAGCTGGTTTGGCTCAGTGGTAGAGCGTCGGTCTGCGGACTGAAAGGTCTGGGGTTCGATTCCGGTCAAGGGCATATACACTGGTTGCGGGCACATCCCCGGTGGGAGGTGTGCAGGAGGCAGCTGGTTGATGTTTCTCTCTCATCGACGTTTCTAGCTCTCTCCCTCCCTTCCTCTCTGTAAAAAATCAGTAAAATATATATGTTTTTAAATTTAAGCTTCTTGCTGAAATCAGTTTGGCTCAGTGGATAGAGCAGCGGCCTGTGGACTGAAAGGTCCCAGGTTGATTCAGGTCAAATGCACGTACCTTGGTTGCAGGCACATCCCCAGTAGGGGGCGTGCAAGAGGCATCTGATATATGATTCTCTCTCATAGATGTTTCTTACTCTCTATCCCCCTCTCTCTTCCTCTCTGTAAAAAAATCAATAAAATATTTTTTTAAAAAATTTTTAAACCTCTTGTGATAGATGCAAGATTAAGAGTCAAACCTTTGAACTGTAAACACATGATAAAAATAATAGTACTATATCTAATGAAGGCATCTATATGGAATCACGAAAGAGATTAAATTTATTCTGATCTCCTTTTAAGTGGACTTTAATAATTTCAGCACATTTTTCCAGTACATTATAATAATGAAATTAGATGGGTAAATAACTGGAAGGATATGTCTCTGACACTTTCAAATAAGACCACAACCTGGTGAATAAAAACACAAGCTCAAAATTACTAAGTAAAGGGGGTCGTGGCAGGCTAAAAAGGCTCAATGGGGGAAAAGGAACATATGTAATACTTTCAACAATAAAGATTTTTTTAATTACTAATTAAAAATGAACTTTTCATAAATGTATCGAGATGAGCCCCAATTATTTTTAAAAATTGTAAGAAAACATTTAAAACCTAAAAGATAACATGTTTCAATTTCCAATTACACCTAAACCATAAATTATATTTTTAACTTATTTGAAGAACTTTATTATAGGAATTCAGAGTAAATCTTAAAATACTAAAATGAAATGCTATAATTAAAATCTTTAATGTTTACTGACTTAAATAGCTGATAATTTATTTAGCTACAAAATAAAAAAAAAAACAAAGAAAAAGACTGAACCACCGTATTTTAAAATAAATGCCAAGGAAATAGATGATCAAGTATAAAAATGGACATTTTAAAAGGTTTTACCCGCATCATTTCATTCTCTAATTGTTTTTTACGATGTAGACGTTGCTGATGAGATTTGAGAACATTTTCTACATGTTGCTCCATAAAGAATTTAAATGCCTGAGGAGAATAACTTTGAATACGAGATTCCCTTCGCTCTTCATCTTTCTTGTTTTTCCTAACGGTGATAGGTGAAGTTGTAATCTGTTTCTTTTCTTTATCCCCACTATCAACATTTTCATAACTTTTTTCACCCTCATCTTCCTTGGGCCCAGGTGACTGGTCCTCTTTGTTAGATTTGATTGATTCATACGGAGGAACAGATGGGTTTTGGTGTAGCAGATGTTTGGGATAAGGTGGTGGTGGGCCTTGATAATTTGGAGCTTCAGCAACAGGCGACATAACCGTCATATTTGAAGTGGTACCCTCAGAAAAAGGGCTAGGTTGAACAGTTTGAATTGGCTGTGGTATCCAAGAAGGATGAGTAGGCGCTAAAGCAGTCTGTAGCTCTGGTTTTAATACGCGTATGCTTTTCACAGGTTGTTGGATTGGAGCTGGTGTAATTGCAGTGACTGTTGTGGCTGAAGGCTGAGAATTAGCAGCATGACTTGTTCTGTTTCCTAGTGGGTTATTAAAAGAATTTGACCTCACTGGTATGTTAGGTTGCCATGTAGGGATTTCATGTCCAATGCTTGGGGATGACTGGGCTGGAGCTGAAGATGACTGAGGCCACGTTGTTTGAAGTCCAGGAACACTAATGTTATAAAGTTCCATATTATGACTATTTCTATTTGGCACCATCATAGATTGAGGAATATTTCCATTTGTATATGATGAAGGAGCAGCAGATCCCCCCGTTTGTAAAGCAGAAGGGCTTTGTCCATTACTAGTTGGGGTCAGAGGATACGGAGGGGGTGGCTGCCGAGTCACTGCACCAGCAGGGACATTTTGGTGTATCATAAAATCAGTTTGACCACTACCATTCTGAATTCCAGGTCTCCCTGGTGGGTAGTTAAATTTGTTAGAACTCTGCATGATGATTGGTTGTCTGCCAACAGGAACAGAACTAATGACTCTCTGTCCCTGATTAGGAGGATTCATTGGGGACATGTTCAAAGGAGGTGGAGGATAGCCCTCCTGCCAGGCTCCAGGTGGAACAGGAGAGATTCGAGAGATTACGTATTCCATATTCCCAGAATAGCGCTTTGTTTGAGAGTTTGGTTCCCACGAGGGGGGAGGTGGAGTTGTACCTCTTGGAGGAGGAGTTTGGCCTCTTGGGGGTGGTGGAGGAGTGACACTCCTTATTTGAGGAGGTGGTGGGGGGTTCACTCTCTGTCCGTTGCTAGGGTGAGCTTGAGCAAATGCTGTGATACCAGATCCTGACAAAGGTTTTCCTACATCTGTTTGTGAGTTGGGACTTTCGGAACGATAGGCCCCACTTTCTCCTAGTGGTGGGCCATGTCTCTGAGGAACTAAGGATTCTTTAGAACCTTTCCAGCTTTGTCTGCGGTTAACTGATTGTTGCACACTCCCTATGATCATAAAACAGAGGGGGAAAAACATTTTTAACTTCTTATTTTTGAAAAATTTAGCTTGGAATTCTGACACTACTACATGATAATTCTCTTTCCAGTCATACAAATCAGGGAGGCAAAGGGGGACTATGAGAACATCTGTCATAGAGTCAACAATAAAAATAGAATTAGAAAAATCAAATTTCAGTAAGTGGTTTTATTTTTCCTTTTAATATTGTATTTTTGACTAGGCAATATATTCTCATAATTCAAAATTCAAGGTACAAAGAAATACGCACGTCTGTCCATAGCCAACCAGTTTCCTTCCTTGAAGGTAACCAATCTCGTCAAATATTTTAGGGATACACAAGTAAACAGTATACTTCCTATATATAATATAGTGCCTTGCTCTTTTCATTAAAAAATTGAAGATTCTGCAGTAGCCAATTTAGCTCAGTGTATAGAGCGTCGGCCTGTGAACTGAAAGGTTCGATTCCAGTTAACGGAACCTGCCCGGGTTGTGGGCTCCATCCCGTGGGGTTTGTAGGAGGCAGCCAATCAATGATTCTCATCACTGCTGTTTCTATCTCTCTCTCCCTCTTCCTTCCTCTCTGAAATCAATAAAAATGTATTTTAAAAAAATTGAAGATTCTGTATCAGTATATAAAGTGTTTCCTTACTTTTAAAGCTAAATTTTTTTTTTACTGTATAGATATACCCAAATTTATTTAATCAGTTCCTTTATTGGTGGATATTAAGGCTGTTTCTAGTCTGTTTCTTTACAAAAAAAAAAAAAAAAGCCATGGGAAAAAAATTTCACTTCAGCCTCACAGATTTTGCTCAGTACACCAAGAGGTTGGTTGCTATAGCATGTGCCCAGCAGAGGGCATGCAAGAGCCAGCCAATCTATGTTGATGTTTCTTTCTCTCCTCCTCCCTTCCTCTCTGTCTAAAATCAATAAAAACACATTTATTAAAAAATTTCATTTCATGCCCTAGCTAGTTTGGCTCAGTGGATACAACAGGGCCTTCAAAGTGAAGGGTCCCAAGTTCAATTCTGGTTGTGGGCTCAATCCCTAGTAGGGGACATGCAGGAGACAGCTGATCAATGATTCACATCAATATTTTAATCTCCCTTCCTCTCTGAAATCATTTTTTAAAAAATAACATTAAAAAAATTTTCATTTTATAAACTACCAGAAGTGGCATTAGTGAGCCAAACATGTCCATTTGTAATTTTGTGAGATACAATAACTAATTTTAAATACATTTCAAAAAGGCTTTTGAAACAAATAAAAAACCCAGCAGTTAATTATTACACTAAATAAGGTATGGATTTTACAGAGTCTCTCTTTAATGGAATTTCCAAATAAATGAGTGGGCAAGAAAAAATATGTTACAAGAAAAGATACTTAAAATGGTCTGGTTACTTGGCAAAAGATATATATTTTATATATAAAGCAAGTTGTATAAAAATAATATAAATTAATACAATCCAGAATAATTAAACATTTAAGTGTTAAAGATGAGGAAAAAAGACAAATACTAGGAAAAAACAAGTGATCATTGAATAATATTAGGATACCTCTTTGCAAGGTCTTTCCAAGTCTGACAAAGGTAGCGAGCATACAGTAAAATACTAACTGATGTAAACATATAAAGCACTTATCACCATTAAAACAAAATAAAACAAACAGAAACATCCACAACTTTGAAAAGTTATCATCCTGGGAGAAAACATATGTAACAACACGTGAGAAAAAAGTAGTAAATGATCCGAATGTAGTTTATTTCATGTAGGCTGGCCAGCATCATGGGTCTATGACTTCAGGAGAAATCATCACTCTGGGCAAGCTAGGTAAGTCCTGTGGCCACCTTCCTCAGATAACCAGCTGAGACTAAACATACACCACTCACAAAGCGTTTACCAATCAAAATGTAAGACACTGCAACCCTCAAGTAGACTACCATCCCTGCTATTCTAATTTTCTGCCACACAATTGCCTTCTAGACGTGTTCTGCTTTACAACCACCAAATGCTCCTATATCCCCAAGCTCTGCTCCAAGCTTTCCTAGCACTCCTTACAGCTGGTTATCTTCTGCTGACACTCCTTTCAGCCCTTTGCAATTAAAGTTTTCATTAAAAGTAAATTGGCTAAAATATGGAATTCTACATCTTTGCTCTCCAATTATGCTTCCAAATCATCACTTACATTTATTCTTTTTTTTTTTTAATCCAGCTTTTTGGAAATTCATGCCATCTAGGAGGCCAAGTTCATTTTTCTTAATGAACTCTTGCTTGTTTGTCCCCAATCACCGGTAACTTTGGTCTACCCTACGCCTTGCCAACATTCCGTAACATCCACATGGACAAATCATCCATAATCCTCACCTCTGTTTCTCCATTCAAACTCAAATATCACTCCCAAGATCACATTTCTAATTTTGATACCATCCATATGTTTCTTTCTCAAAATCAGTAATTTAAGGTTTATACTCTTAAGTTCTGTTTATTCCTACTACAAATGTTCTTCAACCTCATCAAGACCTATTAACCTCTTACATCATCAGTCCTCTTTCCTTTTTTAAAATATATTTTTATTGATTTCAGAGAGGAAGGTAAAGGGAGAGAGCAAAAGAAACATCAATGATGAAAGAGAATCATTGATTGGCTGCCTCTTGCACGCCCCCACTAGGGATCTAGTCTGCAATCCAAGCATGTGCTCTGCTGTCCGGGAAGTCTGAGAGTAATGAAGCCATGGAGAGGATTTGGAAGGAATGAGAAGCCACTAAAGACAGAGAAAGAATATGCTCTGATTAAGAAATTAAATTACCCTTTGGCAATAAATTCTTGATCAGCATCAACTAAATGTCTCAGCACTGCCAGGAAATCCTACTATTTCCTTTTGTCTCCACTATGACTCTTGCCAGCCTCCTCAAATCGCCTGCCTCATTCCTCTCCCATCACTCTTAGCAGACGATCTGATTTTTCTATTTCAGAGAAAACTGAAGACATTGGAAAGTAATTCCGTTATCTTACCTACATAACCTAAGCCAATTTGCCCATTAGAGCAAGAGGGTTGTTTCACTTCCTTTGTAAAGCTAATAAGCTCTCATTCCATGCTTTGGATCCTTTCTTCTGGATTCTCAAGAATCTTACTTGATTCTTCTCTCTTGAACATTTAATGTCTTTTTAATATATATATTTACTGATTTCAGGGAGAGAGAGAGATACAAACATCAATGATGAGAGGGAATCATTGATTGGCTGCCTCCTGCACATCCTCACTGGGGACTGAGCCCACACCCAGGCATGTGCCTTGACCGGGAATCAAACTGTGACCTCCTGATTCGTAGGTTGACACTCAACTACTGAGCCAGGTCAGTCAGGCTTATATACTTAATTTCATGCTCTTAACTGGAATCTTGTAATTATCTTTTAAACTTGCCTAAGTCTTTGGTACTAAGAAAAATAATAAGGCTCTCCATCCACTCTAATATAGACCACTTCCTCAAAGACTTATTTGGTGCTGGTTCACAAATAGATATTGATATGATAGAAGATAAGTATGGAAGCTGAGAATAAGAATTTAGAGACTGACAGAAATTTGACAAAGTAATTTTATGCTGTTAAAATGTGGTAATGAAATATTTGGATTTATATTTGGTGCGTCATTTAAAATTTAAATTTTTCTAATTCATTGGTAATGTATTTTATAAAATTACTAATCCATAATAAATTAAAAATGAACAAATAAAAAGATCTTTATCACAGATAGGAAGCACTATTCTTGCTAATGTCCTCACTCTATCTTCATAGAAAAATTTTCCAGATTTGTTTATACTTGAGTTCTTTTTACTTCATATCCATTTATTACTCAACTCACAACAATTTGAATTATGCTCCTATGACTAAACAAAAATAAGTTACTCATGTCTTATGAGCTGCATTGTGCCCCCCTAAAATTCAGTAAGTTCTGGTAAGCCTTAATCAAGTATGACTGGGAACTTATGAGGAAATCTGGACACAGAGAAAGGCACATGTGTATGCAGAGGGACGACCATGAAAAGACCCAGTAAAGATGGTCATCTGCAAACCATAGAAGGAGAAACCCAATCTGCTGTCTCTGTGACCTCGGACTTCTGGCCTCCAGAACTGTTGGAGAATATATCTATTATTTAAGTGACCCAGTCTTTGGTATTTTGATATAACAGTCCTAGCAAACTAATATACCATGTCATTAAAGTCAACAAGGTACTTCCCTAGTTCTCACCTTGGTCAACCTCTTTGCCTCCTCCCCCTTCTTTAACATGCTCTTCTGTAGGATTTCAAGATACCTGAAACCATACTGGTTTTTTAGCTCCTTTTTAGCTAAATTTTCTGCCTTCTTTGCAGGTTTATCCTCTCCTCTCAGCTACAAAGCAGTAAGCTTGGTTATAGTCCATATTGTCACTTTTGTCTGTTACATCCTTTAGGTGACTTATCTAAGGCTAATACAAAAAAAATGTATCTAACTACTGACATCTTCACTTTGAGTTTAACTCAAACTCATGTCTACAACCAGACTTATGCATGATCTTTCTCTCCAAATCCTGTTCTCTCTTAGTATTCTCTTTCATAATGTTGTGTATCACCATCCGTTTTCCACACCAAAAGCCTAAGAGTCATCCCTCTCTAGCATCATCGCCCATATGCAATCACCAATCCTTGTCACCAATACTCTTCCCATCTCTCTTAATTCACTCACTTTTCTCCACTGCCATTGCCCAGTCCAGAATACCTCCATTTCCTGTGAACAGTCTCTTATCAAATCTATCCAGATACCATCTCTTGCTGTCTCTAATCTGTTCTTCCGTCCCCTGCAGCCATGTTTTAAAAATACAAATTTAATCTTGTCATCACCCTACTTGAAATGTTTCCTTAACTGCCTACTGCTCTCATGATAAAATCAATACAGTCCTTCTCCAGTCCTATCTCATACTTTTGTTGTCAGTGCTCTAACCACTTTCTTCGAATGTGGTATCAAAACCTGTCAAACAGGCCAAGCATAAGGATATTCTTCCTCACTAAAGTCATTCCCTTGTCTTTCTTCAGATATTGGTCCTATTATTAGTTTCACAGGAAGGTTTTCTCTTATCTCCTTGATTACATGTAAAAAAAAAAAAATCACTCTATTATAAGAGTCCACAGTACCATGGAACTCTCTCTCCCCTCTTCACTCACACTTTTGCAATTACTAGCCGCCCAGTGAGTGAAAATTCATGCACAGTAGGGGGGGTCCCTCAGCCCGGCCTGCCCCCCTCTCACAGTCTGGGAGCCCTCAGGGTAGAAGGGACGCCCCATTACACCCCTGCTGCTGCCACTGCTGGCAGGACAAGCCTCGGGTGGCCCTGGGAGGAGGCTTGCCCGTGCGTTGGGCCAGCCCTGGGCAGTTGGGGGGTTGAGAGGACTCTAGAGGCAAGTGCAGCCGGGCCCGTCTGGGGGCACGCGGGGCTGAGGGGACTGGGCAATGCCATCTTGTGGCTGTGGGTGCCACCATCTTTGTGAGGGCAATTATGGTCAATGAGCATATTCCCTCTATCAGATAGGATAATTCCACATGTATTTGATCTTCCTTACTAGAATGGCAACTTCATAAAAGGGCAAGATCTTTATACCCAATGCCCAGCAAATGGCATGAAACAGCTGTTGATCAATAAAAATGTGAATGAGAGAAAAATTGAATAATAAGGCCTCTTATCTATCTACCTATCTATCTAACCAGCAGCCAACCTCCTCAGCCCCTCCCTCCAGCCAACCCATCCCTGACCAGGCCCCAATCAGGAATGCCAGCCAGCTAACCTCCTGCCATCTCCTCCTGAAAGGCCCGCCCCCATCCACCCCAATTGGGGCTGGGCCTGCCAGACCCCACCTGTGCACGAATTCATGCACTGGACTTCTAGTAAATTAGTACAAAAACACACAAGATTAACAAAGAATTAAAATGCCAATTCAAAAATAACGTATAAACAATGTAAAATGAGATGGTATTTCCACAGCCATTAAATATACAAAAATGAGCCCTGACTGGTTTGGCTCAGTGAATAGAGCGTCAGCCTGTGGACTAAAGAGTTGCAGGTTCAATTCCAGTCAAGGGCATGTAACTTGGTTGCAGGCACATCCCCAGTGGGAGGTTGTTCAGGAGGCAGCTGATAGATGTTTTTCTCTCATCAATGTTTCTAACTCTCTTTCTCTCTCCCTTCCTCTCTGTAAAGAAAATCAGTAAAATATATTTAATAAATACATACATACATACATACATACATAAACATACTGCCCTGCCAGTGTGGCCCAGTGGTTAAGTGTTGACCTATGAACCAGTAGGTCATGGTTCAATTCCCAATCAAAGAACAATGCCCAGGTTTTGGGTTTGATCCCCAGTGAGGGTTGTGCAGGAGGCAGCCAATCAATGATTCTCTCTCTACATTGTTTCTATCTATCCCTCCTTTTCTCTGAAATCGATAAAGATATATTAAAAAACAAAACAAAACAACAACAAATCCTCTATTTGGATAAAACAATTTGGATGGCCCATGGAGTTCAGATTCTTTTTTAAAATAATAATACCTAAGATTTACAATTATAGGAATTCTCATATTAAACTGATTGGGAAAATATAAATTGGTAACATCTGTCTGACAGCAAAATCTAAGAGAAGCCTTAAATTTCTGCAAGTTTTAAAAAATTTAACAAAATCATCAGGAATGTACAAATATATAGGAACAATGCATTTATAATGGGAAAAAAGATAAATGTCAAAATTGAAAGTGGTTAAATAAAATACGTAATAAGTCTATTTTAATGTATCTATTAAAATCATTCCATTTAATAACAAGGAATGTTATGCATGGTATATTAAATGAATGAAGGATTCAGTATGACCCATTTTTTGCTTAAACAAAAGAATCAATATACACATGTATAAACCTACCCAAGTTTTCCACAGGAAAAAAGACTAAGAAACAAAACACAACAAAATCTTGTGGGTATAAATAGTGTTTTCTTTTAATACTTTCTAAATGTTCTATGATAAACATGTTTTTACACTTAGAATAAAGAAGAGTTTGAACTATATTTGTGGTTAAAAGGAATATTTCAATTGCAATGTAACTAATTTAGTTCTTAACTACTGCTGCCTATCAGAATTACCTATGGAACTTTAGGGCCATGCTCTCATTCATTTTGGTCTAGTGTAACACTGTAACATTGTTATCCTAATTTGAGACTTTCTCTTACTGTGATGCTTTTACCAACTTCTGAGACTAAAGACTTGATATACTTATATTTTAAGACAATGCTACAAAATAAAAGAGTAGGGGAAAAGTTTGATTAATCACCTGGTTTCAAACTGGCATTAATAGGTCTGGCAGCTGCTGTAACCATCTGTTCCCGTCGAGGATCTTGATAACTCATTTTACTAATGAATTCAATTGCAGCTTCTATACTTCTGTTATTAGTTTTCTGAAGAGCTTGTATAACCATATCCTGACATGAAATTAAAAAAAAGAAACAAATTTTAAATCTTATAATTAATAAGAGGGAAAGAGCACTATGAATACCACTAAAAAATCCAATTATGAAGAACAGGACCCCAAATCATAATATTCATGTCCTATTTGTATAACTACTATAAAAATCCATACATTTTCAAATTACTAAAGAAAACAAAACAAACCCTCAAATCCTCCAACTATTTAATATTTTCACCTCGATGTAACAATTAGTTGGATTTTATTTTCTAGGCTTAACTTCTTCCAGGTAAAATCATAGCAATATAATTCTGATTATTTCTCATTCTTTTTTTTTTTAGTATTTAAAGAGAGAGAAAGGGAAAGAGAAACATTGATGTGGTGCCTCCTGTATGGCCATTCCCCTAGTCGTGTTTGCCCGCCCCAATCAGGAATCGAGCCTGCAACCCAGGCATGTGCCTGACCAGCAACCTTTTGGTGCACAGGATGACACCCAACCGAGCCACACCAGCCAGAGCTATTTCTCATTCTTTCTTTTTTTCACTTTTGTATTAATTTTTTATTGATTTCAGAAAGAAGAGAGGGAAAGACAGAAACATCAATGATGCGAATCATTGATCAGCTGCCTCCTGCATGCCCCCTAGTCCCACAATGAGATCGAGTCCATAACCTGAGCAAATGCCTCCACCAGGAATCAAACTGTGAAATTGTGAACATTCTATCTACGCTAATACAATACACAAATTTGTATATATATTAAAAGAAACATTTAGGCAGGAAGTCACTAAAAATGTGTAATATAAGAAAAATCCTTTCTTTTGTTTTTAAAAGTTCTTACCTCATCAAATCCAGCAGCTTGTAAATCTTGCAGCATTTGTGGATTAACCTCTAGAGTACTCCGACTTGTTTCATTTGCAAATGGTTGTAGCGAGTTTCGAATTTCCAGCAAGGCTTTATGATGAGTCCCAAATTTGGGTGGATTTCTGACTTGTCGAGGATCTTCAATTGCCGTTTTACTTATGTTATGCTCAGCCTTTGCAGCATCGGATGGTTTGGATAAATTCCTAAGGGATTCCCGAATTTCTTGCAACATTTGCCGGCTGCTGCCAGTATAGTTACTGGCAGGAAAGGTCTTAGGCCTCATTTGTCTATATCCTTCTGGCTTTTCACTTCTCTTCATGAAAACATCTATATGTATAACCCACACAAAGTACTGTAAGGGCCACAGATTCGGAGCCTTCTCTTGAGCAAAACTGAAGAAGGTCCTTTGCAGAAGTACCCAGGAATGTCAAACTTCTTTACAATTTAGATAATTAACCCTGTAAAAGAAAAATAAGTAAAAGCTATAAAGTGATTTACTGATAAAGCAATACCCTGAATAGGGAAGGTGGGGGAAAGGGAAGACACTGATTTAGGAGGTAGAGTCCTAGGTTATAGTTCTGGCTCTATTATGGATTACTGCATGATCAAGACAAATTTAGTTAACTTCTCCATGCCTAGGTCTTAATCTATAAAGTTACATAAAGTAGGTTATAATGATAAAAAATGATTTTAAGAGTGCTTTAGGGCCGTAGCCAGTTTGGTTCAGGCTGATGTGGCTCAGTTGGTTGGAGTGTCATCCCATACACCTAAAGTCGAAATTCCCGGTCCCGGCACATACCCAGGTTTCAGGTTCAATCCCAGTTGGCACCTACGAGAAGCAACTGATTGATGTTTCTCTCTCTCTCTCTTTCTCTCTCTCTCTCTCAAAATCAATAAACATGTCCTTGGCTGAGGATTAGTTTATATAAAAAACATAAATCACCCAGATGAGTTAACAAATTAAGAGGTAAGGTGGCCTGCCTAGGGTCATGTAACCAGTAGGAGATCATACTAGGAATTGACTCCACACATCCTGAACCAGCCCAGTGTTGTTCTCATTATTCCTACATTTTGAGTTTCCTAAAAGCAGGGATTAAGACTCTCTATCTCTTTGAAGGGTACAAATATTGGATAGAGTGAATAGACAAAACTTCCATTTCTTTAAACATTCAAACCTTCATCAATTATGCAAATACCAATAAATCCAAACAAATATAGTTGATATTTTGTCCAACTTAGGAAAAAAATAGGTATCACAACCTAGAGAGATTTTGGAGGGTTACCTTGGGTTGAATTAGGTTTATAAGAATTAAGGCCTATCTCAATACTCTGACTAAAATCAGTTATGAGACTAGCAACAGTCATATGTACCGTTTCTTTCTTTGCAGCATAGTCTTAGTTGTTTAGTCAGCAATATTCAAGAATCTCTGCATAATGTGGCATTTCTTTCAATTAGCTTTCTAAGAATTAACTATTCAAAAGTGAAAAGAATCACTATAATTTACCTTCATGTTGAAAAATTACTGCCATTTCTACTCAATAAAAAATTACTGCCATTTCTACTCGAGTTGTTCAATGACTAAATAACTGTTGTGGTTTACAAAAACCCTCCACTAATCTTAACATTGAGAATGAAAACTAAATAACCAGAGTTGGAACGATTCCAAGACTGTTTATATAAAACATCAAGGATGAGCATTTAAAAAATAAAAACTCAATCTATAGAAGGAAATCTACATATCATACCAAAAAAAAAAAAATGCAGCAGTATTTTTTACTTGCTTTTAGATTCACAAGGCATGTTCAATAAATACTCAGGCATGGAAAGACTGCACTTTTCCCAGCATGTTCCACGATCTACCGTGTTTCCCCGAAAATAAGACATCCTCCGAAAATAAGACCTACTTACAAGTTTCCTTCTGAGTGAAATATAAGGCATCCCCCCCGAAAATAAGGCCCCCCAGGCTAAACATGAGATTTGGTCCACTGATTCTGAAAGAAATGGAGTCACAAGAAATTCACCAGAAAATTCAGGAATTGGATTGTTATGATGATGTTCCAGAAGATGATGACATGATTGTCATTGAATAAATGAATAAATTCTTGATACTGTAGGATTCACAGTTTGTCTGGTTTGTGCCAACAACTACCGTACTACCGTACCACATACAGGTAATAAATTTCCTTTATTTTCATTTAACAATAAATGTGTACCGTATTCTTCTTCATGGAAAAATAAGACATCCCTTGAAAATAAGACCTAGCGCATCTTTGAGAGCAAAAATTAATATAAGACACTGTCTTATTTTTGAGGAAACGGTAGTTTCTGGCAGTAGCAGCTGATCAGAGGAACACAATGCTACTTCTTTTGCTGTTCAATCAAATTCTTCCACCTGCCCATTTTACCTGTCAACTTATTAAAAGAAAAGAAATGAACTTAGTTAAATCACAAATGTAGATACCTTAGCAGAGAACATTCATTCTAATTATAATTTCCTCTTCCTGGAGGAAATGTGATAAAAAAAAAAATCCCCCCCCCCCAAACTTCATAAATAATCCACAAATCCTGACAAACCCCATGATCTCAGGCATTCAAATCCATCTCCCAAACTGGACTGATACAATATCATTTGTGTGTGCCACTGCTATACTTATTTCCCATTAGGTTTACGAGTCTCTTGTACACAGAGGACATCTTTTAAGCCACATTAACATATGGGTCACAAACGTTAAGAGAACAGAGTTAGATCAAGTCGCCTGAGAGCCATTAACATTCAAGTTCTTCTTGAAGTTAAAATAAACAATGTTCCTTTAGTTTTCTTTCCTTGGTTTTCTGTGTTTACCCCACTCTCACCACCTAAAGACCCTCCCCTCTGCCCCACTCCTTGTAACCGTGAACAGCACCCTCGCCTCAGGGGGCTGTACACTGCAATGCCCAGGGTGTCTCCCAGGCGCGCCCAGTCCGGCCCTCCGGGCGTCCGAGAGCCGCAGCCCTTTCCCCGGGTTTCCTTCCCGGCCACTTTCGCTCTCCTCCTCCCCGGCCACCGCTGGCCCGTGCGGGTGGCGGGTTCGGCGGCGGCGGGGGGAGGCGGCGCCGCCAGGCCTCCGCAGAGCGGGCTCGTCCCAGCCGAACCCGCACCTCCAAGGCCGCAAAGCCTGGGGCTCTCCCTCCGGCCCGGCGCGGCCAGCCCTCGCTCCCCCGGGGCCGGGCTCAGCTCGGTCCGGCCTCCAGCCCGCCGCCCGCCGCCCGCAGCGGCCCCGGAGCCCCGCCAGCCGGGAGGGCGTGGGCCCGGCGGCCACCGCCCCCCGGCCCGGCCCTGGCCCCGGCCCCGGCCCCGGCCCCGGCCCCGGCCCCGGCCCCGGCCCCGGAGGAGAAAGTGGCCCCTGCCGCTACAGCGGCCGCGACCTACCTGCGGGAGCGCGGGCTCCCGGACGGCGGCCGCGGGGGCGCCGGGCGGCCGGAAGCCCTCCGGGGCCCCGAGGGTGCCGGCGGGCAGGGCGGGGAGAGGCGCCGGGGCTGCCGCGGCCAGCGCGGCCCGAAGCGAGGGTCGCGGGGACCTGGCTCTCCCCTTAGCACCAGGCCATTGCCGCCGCCGCCATCTTGCCTTCCACTCGGTGTCGCCGCCGCAGGTTTCCCGGATGTGGGATGTGGGCATTTCCCGGCGTCGCTTGCGCGGGGGCCGAGGACTGGGGGCTTCTGCCCGCCGGGCCGCCCGCCGCCCGCTCCCCGGCCCGGCGCCCGCCGCCCGCCGCCCGCTCCCCGGCCCGGCGCCCGGCGCAGCCCCCGCCCAGCGGCCCCGGGGACTTGCCGCCGCGGAGCCCGCGCGCGGCCTGCAGCTCCCTCCCTCCTCAGTGGACGCCAAGGGTGAGAATAGAAGGAAGGTGCGCAGCTCTGGCGCTTTACTCTCAGAAGGATCAGCAGTGCGTTGCTCTCTGAAACCTCGCTGCGGACAGCAGGGTTCGAGATTTTTAGAGGCTTTGAAATAAAATAATTTTGCTTTTTTTTTTTTTTTTTTTGTCTCATTTCCCCAGTAAATCCGTGAATTTAAGTATTTTCCGAAACTTATTGCAAAATGTATTCCTGAACCAAGAAAGATTAACAGAGTTTCGGGATTTTTATGTCAACCAAAATCAGCAGGAAAGCCTTTATTGCCATAATTGGAATAACAGTGACTGTGAGGTTTTATTTTCTGTTAAATTGAAATGGAATTATTTGGGACGGAATCATTGGGATATGTTTGAAAGTACCGTTTGTAGACCGTCTTTGCAAGTGCTGCCTCTTGAAAATGTATACAAGTTTTTAAGTTCCCTTTCATCGTTTTTTTTACTAGAGTTTACAAAAAAAAAATTTTAAATATATTTTATTGATTTTATACAGAGAGGAAGGGAGAGAGAGATAGAGGGTTAGAAACATCGATGAGAGAGAGTCATCGATCAGCTGCCTCTTGCACACCCCCTACTGGGGATGTGCCCGCAACCAAGGTACATGCCCTTGACCGGAATCGAACCTGGGACCCTTCAGTCCCCAAGCCGACGCTCTATCCATTGAGCCAAACCAGTCCCGGCTACAAAAAAATTTTTTTTAATTAAGACTTCTTTTTCTGATGTTAGTTACTGGCTATTATATCCAAAAAAATTCAAATGTGAAGAAAAAATATATTAAAAGATTACATTCCAGCCAAAGCTAGTTTGTGCCAAAGCCAGTAGGGGGCGTGCAGGAGACATCAGATCGATGGTTTGATATTTCTCTCTCTCCCTTCCTCTCTGAATTAAATGAAAAAATATTTTTTAAAATGAAAGAAAATGTTTCACAAACACAGTTTGTACAAGGTAGAGGATTTGACCCAAAGTGGTCACTTAATAATCCTAGTTTTTACTTTCTTCTACTGAAGGATGAAATAATCTCTAGGTCCCTTTCATCCTGCACGTTATAGGAATCTATGTTCACAGGCCTGCCTGCGTTTGGAAGTGTGCTACCCACAGTTCTGTCACCCCTCAGCAATTCATGGAACTTCTTCACTTAAGTTTCTCAATTCTCTCTGAGCATAAAGACAGGTATCTCCACAGACTACTGTCCTTGGGAAAATTCATCGATAATTCGCAGAGCTGGACGAATCACTCTAAGACTAGGAGATGGACTGCTATGAAGTAGGGGGACAGAAGAGCAGGGAAAGGAGGAGTGATCCGCAGAGAACCTATAAGGTTAAAACTGGCTGAGAATACTGGTAGGAGTGGGGGTGAAGGCTCAAGACCAGGAAAATGCTTGCCACGGGTGCTGGATGTCTGAGTGGCAGTGTCTGCCTTCATTTGAAGGTCTTTGCATTGCTGTGATAGAAAAACCCTTGGTCCAGCCAATGGTTTCAGTGCTCCATGGAAGTGGCCATTTTTTCATTTTTAAATAGGGGATGAATTTCATATTTGGATGAATGTAGGAACTGGGCATGAAGTAGTTCTGAGAGCATCAGCCCTCCTAGGAATTCAGTCTTGGGGGGGGGGGGGGGGAAGTCTCTGGATTATGAGCAGCCTCCTTGAAGGCAGAGAATCTGTATAAATTATTTTGAATTCTGATCAGATTGGTCTCTTCTCCCCTGTTTGTTTATTCAAGCATTTACTTATAGTATTGTGGACTCATAGATATTTTATATTTTGGGTATTTTATTTTGTTGAGCAATTGGGAACTTTTCCAGTTGGTTTCTGTGTCCCTTTGACCTACTCCCATAATTTTTTGTTGTTGTTATTTTAGAACTTCCTTAATTTCTGGCACCACAAGGTGCTGCAAACTAACTTGTATTATTTCCAAACCCTCTAAGTAGCCCTAGTTCCTTTTATTGGAAAATGGTTTTAGAAACCAAATCTGGAGTCTGAGTGTGCTCATTGCTACTCAGGTATCTGCTTGTATGACCTCTATGGCAGAGATTTTTAAATTTAAATTAATTCCATACTATGTGTAGGCGTAAAAACTGTTTGGATTTGTTATGGCTATTATTTTAGAGTCTAGTATTGATTACAGTTTAGCTTCGTACATCTACGGCCTGCACAAAAATTGTTTTGACAGCGAGTTCATTTCAGGTGGCTTTGTTAAGCTAGACAGCTACTGTCCCCCAAAGTTGTCATGACACTTTGGAATTGAACATTAGTTTATCTTTAATGAATTAAAAATTGCATGTGATCAGCCAGATTCTAGTCTTTCTCCTTTTTCACTATGCCCATTCCTTCATGGCTTCTTCCCTCTGTGTACACCTATTTTAGTGAAATGTTGGAAATTATTTTGATGCTAAGATGACTGCAGTCCAGGATGTAGCTGCTAGTTGTTCTACATTGCCACTAAATATTAGTCATGGTTTAGAATGCCAATGAAATAGTTTAAACAGTTGCATGTCATGTCATTTGGGGCTCCCTAGGTTTCAGATCTATAAAATAAGAGCACTGCTATTGCTTCAGATCATCTAATTCATTGAGCGAGGTAGCACACTGAAACCAGCTTAAATGATACAAACTATATAATAGTGAACTTACACACTTCTTGGACAAGATTCTAGAATGGATAATCCAAGCTTGAAAGGATATTTCCACAGTACTATGAAACAAGTGTAATTCACCAAGGACAAGGAGTGTTTCAATTATGCCAATTTTTGATAGGATAGCTATAGCAGAGATGTTTTCTCAAAATAGTCTTGTGAACAAGAGAAATGGGGCAGAATGTCAACACATTAGGTTGGTTTTAAATATTTCAGTGACTGTAACCAAATACCAGTGATTCATGTGTCACCGATGATTGAGAGGACTCTGGGAGTGGGACGAAGCACTTCAGTCCATTTAACCTATTTCCTAACTAATGGGATGAGAATACAGAAAGCATGCTGGACAATTCTGAAAATAATTTTTCTCAAGAAAAGATTCTGAGGGGCTTGTTAATTCTTTCCTATATTGAAATAAAATGGGTCTTCTTAGAACACTAAGGATGAACCCCTAGCAAGGATCAAAACCACCTGCATTAACTCAATATGGGAAGTATGGCTTAAGCATATGACGTGCAAAAACTTAAGGGTTTAAGTTCAGTGGTCAGCAGTCTAAGTGAACAAATGTCAGAATTATTCAAATCAATTCACACAGCATTACAAAAGAGTACTGTGCCCAAAATCAGGATAAGATTTCTATCATATTCTCAAGTGAGGCAGACACTCCCTGGAAAAGTATTCATTTTAGAAGTCTCACTTTAAAGCTGGCCTTTGAAAAATGGGAGTATGTTTTTAAAAAGGAAAACAAGATTAGGATTTAGTTCAGTTTGCACTAAGGCAGTGCTTACCATGGGCCAGACATGGAATTAAATATCGTCAATAGAACACCAGACCTGGGCTCTGCTCGTAAGCTTGTGGTCCAGTAGAGGGAGACAGGCTGCTTAGCACACAGCTCTAAGCACAATGGCCTTTAGAAATACAACTTAGCCACATTGTCAGAGGTCAGGGCAGGCTTTCTTGAGAAAATGACACCTAAAAGGAGCCCAGAAGAGTAAGCAGGATCTAGCCAACTAGGGCAAGAGAGGCTGGGAAGGGAACCTTGCCCTCAAGAAACCAATGAAGGGTAGATTAAGAAGTTTCACCTTAAAGTAGCTATCTTAGGTAGCTACTTGAATATGAGAATTAAAATTTTTGTGGCTCCTGAGGAAAGACAACAACTGGAAGCCTATTTCAATTCAGTATATGAAAAAAACATTTATTTAATGAAACCTTCTGGTCAAGTACCCCAACATAATGGATTGGTGATGGGCTTTGTCTCATAGCAGGTTCACATGATCATTTTATTAACCCACAATAACATTATTCTACCTTTTTTTTATAGGACCGTTTTGAGCCCCTCACATACTAACACCCTGCCATTATGGCTGGATCAAATAGAGCTGTCCAAACGGTGAGAGGCTGCAGAGTATTTTCAGATCTATGGATGTGACTTGTTGGGAAAGCTGTTGGAGGGAGGGTTAGATGTAGGCTAGAGATGCCCTAAAGAGCATCCCACCTCTGAGATCCTGCAGCCTCAAAAAAACATTTCATAGTTTCATTCTAGTAAAAGGCAGTAAGTGACAAAGAGCAAATTCATATATTAGTGTTTAATTTATACTACATAAAACTTGTTTCTTATTAAATGTATCAAATGTAACACTATTCAAATGTACTTTCTTTTACATATGGTTATAAATACCCTTAAATCAATGCAAAGCTTGGAACTTAAAACTGTTTCCAGTCCAAGCAAAGCAAAGCTTGAAATTTAAAACCGTTTCCAGTCCCAGCTAATATTTTAAGCCTAGGCGTCTGGCTCCTTCCCTCTACCATCATTCACCATAATGACCCAGGGAAACGGTATACATTGCAGCTGGAAACTGAGAAGAGTGCTAACATGGATGAAACCTTCAAACGTTACAGCAGCGGGTAATACAGGTAAAAGCAGAGCCACAAGTGTACCATTTACTGTGCATGGAAAAATGTGCCACCAGAGAGCTGGACTCAGAGCAAGAGCAAGGTTAGCCTTCTGCCCTAGCTGGTTTGGCTCAGTGGATAGAGTGTCAGTCTGTGGACTGAAGGATCCTGGGTTCAACTCTGGTCAAGGGCACATACTCAGGTTGCAAGCTTGATCTCCAGTAGGGGGCATGCGGGATGCAGCCCATCAATGATTCTCTTATCACTGATATTTCTATCTTTTTCTCCCTCTCCCTCTCTGAAATCAATATATATATATATATATATATATATATACACTTTTTTTTTTTAAAGGAGGTTAGCCTACTAACTGTAAAGGGAAGGTGCTTGTACTAGATAATGAGGGACATTGTAGCTTAGGCTGCAGCACGACATTCATACAAATGGAAATAAAAAGTCAAAGGAAAATTCATAGCTATTATATGATTGAACTCATGTGTTTACTGGTAGGAAATGTGCATCTATATGTATTTCATTTTCACAAAATAAATTATATACATTGATGAATAAAAGGAATATAAAAGACTATAAATTGAGAGAATAAGTAGTTAAAATTTGTTTTTCTGTAATGAATTACTTTTGTAATAATAAGTTTTTAAAAATTAATCCCAGTAATCACATTATAAACAGATTAAAAATTCTTATCAACAACATTTTCTTTCCTCCTAATTCTTTAGAATTCAGTCACTAATTACTTTAATGAAACATTTTTGAGCCATATATATATATAAAAGCAGATTCATATACATATTTCATTTTTAAATACTGACAAAGTAACAAAAACAAAAAACCCTGAGATAAGGTAGCATAAAGTTTTCTTAAAATATTAAGAGAAAAGCAAAACTTGACCATAATTACTATTATTGGAATTATAAAGTACATGAACACACTTCAATATTGCATTTAATCTAACACATTATGGAAAGACAATGTCATACTACTGTCTTAAAACACTATGGAAGGTCATATTAACATTTCAAATAAGGATAAAGACAGCAAAATTCTTTACTCTTACCATACAATCACACTAATCTCATACATGTTATCTACCAAATTTTAGTTTCAAAGTCGGCTCACTTACCAATGTCAAATTCTATTTTAATGCATAATGTCCAGTTCAGCAATTTTCAACTACACTATAAAACTAAACAAAAGCAAAAATCCTTAGGGAAGACGCATTTTCTTTTTTCTTATCAAGAAAAATAAAAGTTGGGTATAAGCAGTTGATAGAGTTCTGTTCAAAGATACTCAAAGGAACCTGTCAAAACATTTTCCCCTTTAAAAAAAATTTGTGAGTTTTTTGTTCTACTCAATTGTTTCTGGAAAAGTTTATTAAAATTATTAAAGACATAAAATGTGAAAGGACTGAAGAAAATATTTGCAATAAAAAGAATTAACGTTAACACTGGCTAATGCCACATACTGTTAATAAAAGGGGTAGGAACCCGTTGGTGATTTGACAGCTCACATCAGAAATGAAGAGCAGCTTCCGGGAAGTGTCTAGGAGGGTGTTTGAAGGCAGTGCATTCATCAACACAGGGATCCTGACTTCTTCAACAAGTTCCCGTTCCTGTGCCATCAGTCACCTAACAGATTCTGCAACTGTTAGAGTAGCTAACCAACAAAATCCAAACCGGGCTGTTGCCATTAATGACAGTTTACTACAAATTTCACATATTTCAATAATAAAAGTTTGCACATAGAAGTTGGAATTTGAAAGGCTATTTGTATGTTTTTACCTGATATAATGATAGTATTTTCATGAAAAAAGTTGTCTAGTAACATAAATTGCTTCTGAATCAGTTCCACAAACAAGACAAGGACCTAAAACATCCAAACTGTTCACAGACAAAGTTCTGTTGGGAAGCAAGCTTGTGATCTCAATCCGGTCTCTCCCAGGATCAGTGCTGAGCCAGGAGCTTATGAGAGACTGGTGAACATTAGCCTGGTTACTAATGCTATGAGACAAAAACGTACTATTTCTTCCTCCTGGGAGAAAAAAAAAAAGGGGAGGAGGGGGAGAGAAACCTTTCAAGATTAATTTTACTAGTATAACATCCAAAATTCTAGTCATATTTTTTAAAGGCGATGACTTAAACTTGTTTAATTCTCGGAATAACAGGTTGATTACGGTATTCATGATTACACATCACCATTTTTTACCAAAGGCCTATTCCACAACATAAAAACTCAAATTTCCATGGGATAATATGGACATCAAACTTTAGGCAAAACAGATTTATGTGGACCTGTCTTTCTGTTCAGTCTTTAATGAAAAGTGTCAGAAATGTAGCAAAATGGCCAGAAGAAAAGTAGAATAAGGAAAAAATAAAATATAGTCAACTTGCTTTAGTTTTTTTTTATGACCCTTTATTTTAAAAGCAGAATTTTAGAACACTACCAGATTATTAACTTTTATCTCTAACAGTGCTCTGTATTTAATATAGAAGTGAAGCAGTATGTTTCAGTTTAAGCCATTATTTGAAATTTTCTTTCCTCTCAACTTTTTGCCAAATCAAATAAAGACAGATTTCATTTATTCAAAATGTGGCCGAGTAACTATGATGTGCCAGGCTCTCTGCTTAAGTGGGGGGAATACAAGGCGAAGTCCTGATATCTTCAAGCTTAATGAGTAGTAAGGTTCAAATCTTGCTGATTCTTTTTAAAAATTCTTTTTAAAATATATTTTTATCGATTTCAAAGAGGATGGGAGAGGGAGAAAGGGATAGAAACATCAATGATGAGAATCATTGATCGGCTGCCACCTGCACACACCAACCTGGAGAATCAAGCCTGCATCCTGGGCATGTGCCCTGACCAGGAATCAAACCCATAACTTCCTGACACTCAACCACTAACCACCAGCCAGCAAAATCTTGCTGATTCTTGAAAGCCCAGTCAACTTCCTTCTCTAAGCTTTTGAAGGCAACACTAGTTCATGCTTCTCTCTTCCTGCCAGGAACCCTCAGCACTGTATGTACACCACCAATTTACTAGTTATATTTCTTATGACTTAACTTTCCATGCTCCTTTCTCTATAACTAAGAATTTTTAATAGGTTGCACAGATTATATTTGTTTTACTCTTTCACAGTGTTTAATACTGTGCTCTGCAATACTAGATTCAGAATATAGTAAATTATTTTATTTCTAGCCTAACAAAGGTTCTTCAAACAGTGAAATTTCAAATGTTAGCTAGTGGGGCAGAGGACGAAGTAAGTAAAAACCAAGTGCTTAGTTAATCCTCAGATAAAGTTATTTTTCTCCATAAATCAAGTTAGCACAAACATGCTACATGTTGGGAGGGCGGAGGAGGTCCATGTAGGAGAAGAGGGAACATTGTAATGCTTTCAATAATAAAGATAAATTTAAAACAAACAAGCAAAAAACCAACATTACATGATCCACACAATCCATACTTCTCCACATTTATTTTCTGGAGAAGTTTTAGATTTCCCCTTGGTTTTTTCTTTTACTGCTCCGTATTTCACACCACACTTGAACACTGTGAAATGACCTTATTAGAATCACTGTGATAAATCTCCTCCTGGTCTCCCTGCCTCAGCTTTTACCATCCCTCTCCCCATAGTCCATTTTCCATACAATGGCCAGTGACCCTGGCTGGTGTGGCTCAATGTCTTCCCATACACCAACAGGTTACAGGTTCCATCCCAGCACTAGGTGGAGGCAACCAATCCACGTTTCTCTTTCACATCAATGTTTCTTTCTCTCCCCCCTTCCTTCCTCTAAACCTCTCTCCCTTCCTCCCTCTCTAAAACCAATAAAACCTGCCCTGGCTGGTGTTGATTAGAGCATTGCCCCCCACCCCCCCCACCCCTTTCCCCATTCCTGGTCAAGGGCACGCACCCCGGTTTCAGGGTTCAATGGTCCCAGTCAGGGTGAGTGTGGGAGGCAACCAATTGATATGTCTCTTTCACAGTTATGTTTCTCTCCCCTCCCCTCTGCCCCCTACTTCTACCCTTTCTAAAAAGCAATAGAAAAAAAATATCCTTGAGAATAAACAAACAAACAAAAAACAACAACTTTTTACCCTGGTGAAAGAGTGATGATTTTTCAGGTACATCAGTGGAGGCATCCCAATGCCACAGGGATCCATCTTCCGAACAGGTAAATAGATGATCTGGGTTGGATGGGTGAAAGTGAACTTCCCACACTAAAAAGTAAGAACCAAGAAGCTTATGCTATGCAGATTAAACAAACATTAAAGCCCTATCTATAGGCATCATCTCCCATTAAACTTCATCACACATCTTCGAATCCCAAGTCTATGAAAAAAATCAAAGGCTTCGGAATTAAGCCATACTATAACTCTTCATTCTATAGATAGGATAAAGAAGACAAGTAAATCTACATGTGTATTGGGCCAGCAAAAGAATAAAAATATGGCCCTGACTGGTTTGGCTCAATGGATAGACAGTCTGCCTGCAGACTCAAGGGTCCCAGGTTCGATTCTAGTTAAGGGCGTGTACTTTGGTTGTGGGCATGTCCGCAGTGGGAAGTGTGCAGGAGGCAGCTGATCGATGTTTTTCATCTCATCGATGTTTCTAACTCTTTATCCCTCTCCCTCCTTGTAAAAATCAATAAAATATTTTTTAAAAGAATAAAAATATGTGCTAATCATTTGAACTATTACTTTTTTTTTTTTTAATGTAAAAGTATGGCAATGGGATAATTCTGAAAATTTTTCTAAAAATTAGTTTAGCCGAGACCAGTTTGGCTCAGTGGATAGAGCATCGGCTTGGGGACTGAAGGGTCCCGGGTTCGATTCCGGTCAAGGGCATGTACCTTGGTTGCGGACATATCCCCAGTAGGGGGTGTGCAAGAGGCAGCTGATTGATGACTCTCTCTCATCGATGTTTCTAACTCTCTATCTCTCTCCCTCTCTGTACAATAAAAAAATTAGTTTAGATTCTCTCATTTTCAGTTCCTGTGTCATGATGTATGCAGGTTATATTACTAGAAAGACTGAGAGAGACCATAAGAGTAATATACAAATGAAATTCGAAGAGGCAGAGTCCAATCTAGTGCACGCCAGGACTCTAACACTTTTCTTCTGTATCACAGAAATAGCTACGAGCTCCCAGCAAACCAAACCTGGAAATGCTCTAAGAATCAGATGGAAGGCTTTTATGAAGCCAACTTGGGACTGAGGCCTCCGCAAGCTCGAAACTTTATGAGAACATCGTGTGCCCATAGACATCTGGGAGCCAATGTCTGGCCAGGGTGCCTCATGAAGTTCTCTGCGGCATGCCGATAAACAGGTAGTTCGTGGACAAAGGTTTTATGATTCTGGGTCAAGTGACCTTAAAAAGGCAGCATATAAACAAAATTTTTAAAAATCCAAAAAAAGGGGGGGAGGGCAGCCCAGAAAGTGCCTGAGGTGTGGCATAAAAAGTGCAAGGCACATGTTTGCAAGCTGGCAATTTTCATTCTGACATTACCACAATTAAACATCATGTCACAAACCATAAAAAGGTCACGTTCCTTAGCAGGGAAGGAATGTGTTCTGGGTGAGTCCCTGTATAAAGTGCATTAATACTGCTTCATTAAAACAACCCATAGAGCCACAAACAAATGCCAGTAAGATTATTTTGTTAAAAAAAAGAAATATGGAACACTTCACAAATGTTCGTGTCCTTCCCGAGCAGGGGCCATGCTAATCTCTGTATCGTTCCAATTTTAGTATATGTGCTGCTGAAGCGAGCACTAAACATAGAATCTTAAGTATTTATTTATTTTCAAATTAGAAAACAAAGCTCCACAAAACATCTGCTTCATTTGTAGCCAAGAGTCAGGATGAATTTGAGGTAATACATTACAATACACTACACTTGTATGTTTACTGCCTAACAATATAGTTAAAAAGGGGCTAAGTTGTAAGTGACTGGTAAGAAGAGATCTGAAAATTTGTAATTGAACTACTACTGTGTTAGCCAACGTCGGACTCCATGAGGGCATACCCTATTCCTTTTTATTCATTTCTTTTCCTGGGCACAACTATAAATGGAAGAGACAAAAACTTTCTATCCTTTTATTTGCTTTATCTTAAATATAATCTTAAAAGTCATTTTTCTTTCCGAGATAATAAGGTGAAACTTATTAAACAGAAATTACAATACTAGTATAGCAAGTATTAATATAGCTGTACTTTTATTCAAGTATTAATACAGTTGACTGGAGCACAGTCCATACACCAAATAGTTGCAGGTTTGATTCCGTCAGGGTGCATAAGGGAGGCAACTGATTGATGTTTCCCTCTCATATTGAGGCTTCTCTCTCTCTCTCCCTCCCTCTCTCTAAAAGCAATAAAATATATCCTTCGGTAAGGATTAAAAACGAGATTTCTGTTCAGCCTAAAAATCCCCCGCATCAATTTTCATTCTGACAGTTACCACAATTAAACATTATGTCTCTCCTCCTCCCTTTCACTGTCTAAAAGTCAAGGGGGAAAAAATATCCTCGTGAGGATTAACAAAAAATTAAAGTAAAATCAATAAAAACATCCTTTTAAAAAATTACCATAAAAAATAAGTACATAACGATGAACAAAAGCAGCTAATCACTGTGGTTTTGGATATAATCATATTAAAGAATGTACATAAAAGTCAAATAAAAAGAGATTAGTTAATTACATATTTATACAATTTAGCAAAAGCTATGAAACAAGACAATCCTTATGTATCATTACGAGCTGTTTACAGTGTATCATATAACTCACCCAACAAAAACTTATGAATCTCCATGGTACTTACTTTCCGCTTCATGAGCCTTCAGCAGAGACACAGGCATAGTACCTTGTCTAACATCCCAAATACTCAACATGCCATCCTGGCCCCCAGTAGCTACAACGTGCTGCTGGTTGGGATGTCTATCTACACAGTGAAGTGGCACTCGGTCACCAGTCCTTTTATGGGAGATACAATAAAATCAAATTTTGGAAAGGATACTTATTATATACTTTGTATTACCCAACAAACATGTTTCATTCTAGTAACTAAATGCAATTTTGTGGCTAGAGCTGTTGGATGAATTTAAATCATGTCCAAAAACCGAATATATTAAAATACACTTCTGCCCTAGCTGGTGTGGCTCAGTGGATAGAGGGTCGGCCTGCCAAACCAAAGGGTTCTGGGTTCAATTCCAGTCAAGGGCACGAACAGGCTTCTCCCTGGCCTAGGCCCTGGTTGGGACATGTGCAGGAGACAAGCAACTGATGTTTCTCTCACATTGATGTTTCTCTCTGTCTTTCCACCTCTCTTCCACTCTATCTAAAAAAAAATCAATGAAAAAATATCCTCTGGTGAGGATTAACCAAAAAAAAAAATAAATGAATAATTATATATATAAACTATTAGAAACTGGGGGAGTGGATGTTTAAAGGCCAAAACTATTCATTCTCTCTTCAATTTGAGAGGCACAGGGAGCAAGATAATCTGATGGAATGATGTGTAAAACACATTTATTTCCATTTCTTGGCTTTTAAAAAACATTATAGCATAGGCCTGGGTGGTGCAGTTGGTTAAAGTCGTCTTGTATACCAAACAGTCTCAGGTTTGATTCCTAGTCAGGGCACAATTATGGGCTCAATCCCTGGGTCAGGATGAGTATAGGAGGCAACTGATCGATGTTTTTCTCTTTCATTGATGTTCATTTCTCTCTCCCCCACTCTCCAAAATCAATAAAATATATATCCTCAGGTGAAGATTAAAAGAAAACAAAAACCTGGGATTTTATTTTTCTCCCAATCATAGCTAGAGTACTAACTATTTAAAAATATATATTTTATTTTATTTTATTTTTTTTTTTACAGAGGAAGAGAGAAGGATAGAGTTAGAAACATCGATGAGAGAGAAACACCTATCAGCTGCCTCCTGCACACTTCCTACTGGGGATGTGCCCGCAACCAATGTACATGCCCTTGACAGGAATTGAACTTGGGACCCTTCAGGCCGCAGGCCGATGCTCTATCCACTGAGCCAAACCGGTTAGGGCAGTGGTCGGCAAACTCATTAGTCAACAGAGCCAAATAACAACAGTACAATGATTAAAATTTCTTTTGAGAGCCAAATTTTTTAAACTTAGACTTCTTCTAACACCACTTCTTCAAAATAGACTGGCCCAGGGCGTGGTATTTTGTGGAAGAGCCACACTCAAGAGGCCAAAGAGAGTGCAGTTTGCCAACCACGGGGTTAGGGCTATACTCACTACTTATTTTATCAAATGTAAATAGGAATTATTCTCTTAAAATGCAATATGGTTTAAAGTCAATTGCTATAAGTGATTGAATAAATTAACTTTGCATTACACTACGGAAATTACAAATCAAAACTTACAGTGATAATATTTGAGAGGGCTCATTTCCTTGTTGTCTGAAGTCCCATATTTTTAATTGTCCAATTGAATTCACTGTAAGAATCTCAGGAGTTCGAAGGAAGGTAACAGCATGTAGTGTGCTGCTATCTGCATTGTCTGCAAATTAAGAACACAGCAGTGTGTGTTAATGGGTCCCCCTGTGCCATGAATATCTTAAACCATGTTCTTTTTAAAAATTATTATTTTTCTACTTTTTAAATAGCATTCTTTTTATGAAAATATTACATAGGTCTAGTGAAATTTTAAATAGGTCAGTTTAATTTCTATAAAAAATGTACAGTATTATTCTGCTGACTCAAATTCATCTTTCCTCATCAACTAATTCTCATCTCTGTGAAGTCCTTCCTGATTGTTATATGATCCTTTCCTTCTTCCTACAGTATTTAAGCTTTAAGCCATATAATATAGCTTATATTTATACACTTTGTCACACTCCTCCAAACTGCCACCAGGCAATGATTCTTAAACAAGTGGCGCTTCTCAGAACTAAAACTGATCATAAACCAGGAAAAACGCTGATTCATGAGCACAATCCATAGAGCAGTGGTTCTCAACCTTTCTAATGCCTCAACCCTTTAATACAGTTCCTCATGTTTATGGTTGGTGAGCCCCAACCATAAAATTATTTTGGTTGCTACTTCATAACTGTAATTTTGCTACTGTTAATGAATCGTAATGTAAATATCGTAATGTAAATATGTGTTTTCCAGTGGTCTTAAGCTCTACAGCAGAGGTTCACAACCTATGGGTCATGACCCACAAGTTGAGAGCTTAAGACCCTAAGACCAGGTTGGTGGACTATTAAAAGTATCCTCAGGCAAGTCTTTGTGAAACACTTTGTGAGACCTACTACACTAGAATAATTCTCATACAGCACGATAGGGATTATATCACCAGCTTACTTAAACATTTTCACCAGCTCCTGAGTTGTCCACCCAACAAAATGTAACCTCAATGGCTATGCATTGGACTTTTCACAACCTGGCCACAATTTCCCTTCCTTGCTTTCTTTCTCACCTTTCCTATATAAATATACAGTCAAAACACTCTGTCATTCTCTAGTTGGCCCTATCAAGCCTCCATACTATGTCTGATGTGCCATATTTTAGTTAGTTATGCTCTAGAACCTTGATTAAATTAATTGCCACTTGCCCCTCAATTTCTTATCCAATAACCCACTCCAGCCAAATATCCTCATAAAGGGATTCTGCTTTGTACATTTCTATATCCCTGAAACGCCTAGCACTGTATCTACTTAGCACAAGATGGGTGCTTAATTTTTCTTACCTATAGTTCTCACAGCTTCCTTGTGATCAACTCTGAAGAGATTTATTCGACCATCTTCTCCGACTGTGACAATCTCTGGGCTGTTGCACACAACACCTGTGCACGGTGCAGTGCTACAGGAAGGACTGCCTGGACCCGTGTGGTAGTGAGCTGTTGTCCACTGCTGGCTGACTGACAGAGTCTAGGAGTCAGAAATGAAAATATAATCCATCAGAGAAAAGTTCTAAAAAATTAGCACTTTTCCTCAACTAAAGAGTGTTTTAAAATTTTCTAACACTCTTCGTATTTGTATTTCCAAATACAAAAGTCTAGAACTTACTTCCATCAAAGCTCGGTATACAATAGATTAGATTCTAAAGGAACACTGTCCAAAAATATCCCAAACTTATTTCAAACTAAAGAAATGGCTTTTAGGTATCTGGTAGTAGTGTGTTCAAAAGCAACTTTAAATTATTATTTTTACTGATTTCAGAAAGGAAGTGAGAAATAGAAACATCAATTATGAGAATCACTGATCAGCTGCCTCCTGCACACCCCCTACTGGGGATGAGCCCACAACCTGGGCAGGTGGCCTAACCAGGAATGGAATTGTGACCTCCTGGTTCATAAGTCAAAGCTCAACCACTGAGCCCACCTGCTAAGCAAAGCAACTTTAAATTCTTTAGGGCATTAGCCTAAGAAATAAATCTCTATAGAGCTTTTTAAATTATTCCATTAAGAAAAACAGTAAGAGCTTGGTCTTATATTTACTAGGCATGCATAAGGAAAGTGACCTTTATTAATTCCAAACTAAATAAGCACTCTCTTCCAGGAACTTAAAACTGTTCCTACAAGTGAGGCCATTGTAAAGGATTGCCCTCACCACAATGCAGTGAAGATCAGCATTCTTGGGCTTTAGTACACAAGAAAGACATGGATAAAATGTCAGTGGTGATGGAAGGAGACTTGGCTTGGGGTGATGAACACACAATACAATGTACAAACGATGTACTGTACAGCTATACCCCTGAAACCCATATAATTTTATTAACCATGTCACCCCAATAAATTCAATTTTTAAAAAGGGGAAAAAAATGTTAAGTTTTCATACAGAGTATCCTCTCTCCTAATTAAAAGATATCTAGCCACAGAAGCAAAGTAGCGGTTCCTGTTTTAATTCATAAACACCTGAGCTAAACGGTTCTCTTTCTTCAAAGTCCAGAGAAAGAACTTAAAAGAGAATTATAGAAGTGACTTGCCAGATTCTATACTTTTAGACCCAAATGAACAGAATTTAAGACTATCCAATTTCAATAAAAGTTCACGTAAAGAGCCGGGACTGGTTTGGCTCAGTGGATAGAACGTCGTCCTGCAGACTGAAAGGTCCCGGTTCGATTCCGGTCAAGGGCATGTACCTTGGTTGCGGGCACATCCCCGGTAGGGGGTGTGAAAGAGGCAGCTGATCGATGATTCGCTCTCATCGATGTTTCTAACTCTCTGTCCCTCTCAATTCCTCTCTGTGTAAAATCAATAAAATATATTAAAAAAAAAAAAAAGTTCATGTAAACAGAGCTCAGGAGTTAATCCACTAAAAGATGGTAACGTAACAATTTTTCTCCCGCATGTTTTGAGATTTAAAAATCTTATTATTCGTGTCATCATTAAGTACAATCTTCTTTAAGCTTTCCTAAAAACAATTAAAATACAAACTCAGTTTCCAACAGCATTTCTTTACCTGGTTGTTGGGATTGTGAAGGAAGACTGTTACACATCCTGTTGACGAAGCAGCTACAATTCTTTCCTGGTCGAAAAACTAAGTAGAAAATTCCTGCTTATTAATAGATTCAAAAATATCAATAGGGAGAAAGCTCATTTGCTTATCTTAATTAGTAGTGATAACAACTTTAAAATGCAAAGAGCCTGTAAATGCTAAGCAAATAAAATGTGATGATAAATCTGAAAGTCAAAACTCCTATTCAAAGTATTTTTGTGAAGGAAAAGTAACTATTTCCTCCCCCTAAACTCATTAATCTATTATTGATTTAATTAATTTTGAACCACTACCATAAAGCTTTAGAAAAGGACCATTCCCACAGTTAGGCAACTTTCTATAGAAGAAAATGCAGGAACTCAGTCACACAGACCCAGGATTTGAACACTTAATTCCATCCCACCGCTTAATTGCCTCGAGACCTTAGCCAAATTAAACTTTCTAAGCTCAGGTACAGCTTTACAAGGGGAGAACTAATCCCTACTAAGGAGGTTGTGAGAATTCAAAGAGCAAAAACTAGTAAATTCCCTTTTAGAGCATTCCTCATATAGTATGTGTTCAAAAGATCTTTGTGTCAGTTTTCTCATTGATAAAACAGATAACAGTACTTGATTCACAAACAAGCAATGAGAATTAACTTATGTGAAATTCCCAAAACAGTGCTTGGCACACAGAAGATAGTCAATTAATTTTTTTTTAATTTCTTTATTGATTAGAATATGTGTCCTTATTCCCCCAATTCCCCCCCCCCCCCCTCATGCCCTTACCCCTCTGTTGTCTGGGTCCATTGGTTAGGCTTATATGCATGCATGCATGCAAGTCCTTTGGTTGATTTCTCCCCTTCCCCCCACCCTCCCCTACCTTCCCTCTGAGGTTTGATGGTCTGATTGATGTTTCTCTGTCTCTGGAACTGTTTTTGTTCATAAGTTTATGTTGTTCAGTCAATCAATTTTTAAAGCTAAGATTAAAAACTAAGATTAAATCCACATCCCCTGCCCCACTCCTGATTCTGTCATCGAGTAGGCTATAAGCTCGCAAATCATAACCTTAGCTTTTGGATATTACACAGGCTTACTTGTAAATCCATCACATCACCATGGTGCCCGATACCGCACAATAACTGATGGTCTCCTTCAAACCCTCCATCAGAGTCCAAGTTCCCCAAGTCTCCAATGGACCACAACAAAACACGATTTTCCTGTAAAGCAGAAAGTTTTATCTGGAGCTGTATACGTTAAAACTCTCGAATATTAAAGCCTGCATTGCCTTCCGGCAATCTTGCTTTAAAAGCAGCTCAGCCGAAACCGGTTTGGCTCAATGGATAGAGCGACGGCCTGTGGACTGAAGGGTCCCAGGTTCGATTCCGGTCAGGGGCATGTACCTTGGTTGCGGGCACATCCCCAGTAGAGGGTGTGCAAGAGGCAGCTGATCGATGATTCTCTCTCATCCATGATTCTAACTCTCTATCCCTCTCTCTTCCTCTCTGTAAAAATATTAATACAATCTATTTTAAAAATAAAAAATAAAAAAAATAAAAGGAGCTCAGAATAACGAGGGAAGTTTTCAGCACACCATCGATGATGGTTCGGAGGCACAGGGCATCCGAGCCCGAGACGAGGGACTCGGGGGACGGAGAAAGGCAACGGGACCCAGAAGGCGAGAGAATGCGGGGCGGGGGCCAGCAGCGAGGGAGGGAGAAGGCAGGGGCTCTCTGGCCCGGGGATGCGCTACCTCGTTGTCCCAAGAGCCCGTAGCGAAGGTCTCCGCGGGCTGCAAACTCCCCGAAGGTACCGGTCGCCAGCGGGTCTTGCTGATTTTCTGAGACACAAACTTGGCATAAATATCCTCCATGCCGAGACCCCGCAATACAGCAGGCAGCACCGCGCGCGCCACTCAATCCCGCCTCTTCCCGCGGAGCCCTGATTGGGCGGGCCCGACGGCGGCCGCGGAGGGCCAATTCTCTGCCGCCGCCGCAGCGCGGACCCGCCGGCCCGCCCTCTCCCGGGAGTTTATGCGCAGCTCCTGGTACTGCACAACCTGCTCCTCATCTGCAGAATCGGGCGGAAACACTAACTCAACGCATTTGTGCAAAAAAAAAAAAAAAAAAAAAAAAAAAAAAAAGTGCTATGTAAAGCAAGTTTAAAAGCAAAAACAAAATAAAATCAACTAAGAGAAACCACCTGGTAGCTACGTCTGAGCATTGTTGTACATTTCACGGTGCGTAGAAGAGTCCAAAGCCTGAAATTCTCACGGAAGTGCATTGCCATTAACATACCAACTTCCTAGGCTAAACTGCTCCCTCTTTGTTTCCCAAATAAATCCCTTGCTTTAAAGTGAACACACACACTGTCAGTGTCTACAGTTGGGATTCTGGAGGCTCCAGTTCTAATGCTGACGACCATTGCCTAGTTATGCAACCGTCTTCAATTAATTTATGTGTGGAATTAAGGACGAGTTTGATAGGTAGCGTTGATGCCCAGAAATCCTTGCTGTAGGTCCCTTCTATGCTTTTGATTACACCTTTAATGCCCTTTGATTCCTCTCTTCTCAGAATCATACCCATCTTTTCAGGACCACTTCTTTCCCATATCTTCCTGAGTAGCTCATGATCTATCTAAATAAAAAAGAACTTTATATTTAGACCACTAATAGCACTTAAATTTTGTGCTCTGTTGCTAGTTTTCTTTTGATGCAGATCCCCAATTGAAATGTAGATCCTATTGCATACAAGAGGTATGACTTATTCATCTTTTTAAAAAATCTCCTTTATACAGTATTCATAATGGTGTGTTGGTTGTCAGCTTTAGAGAGATACCAGGTCTTATTAAATATTGAGACTGGTTCTGTTTTGTTTTAAATGGAAGACCATCAGGAAATAACAGAAATGAAATGGATAACTATTAGTCCCAAACTGACCGTTTTATTCCTGATATTGAAGTAAAGAACCCTGTTTTGAGTGTGGTTTCATTTATGGTCATAGAATCCCAGAAAATAGGTACCGGTAATATATATTTCAGAATGGAAGTAGGCTGAGTATCACCTATGACAAAATCCCATGAGAATTAGAATTTGAAAATTGCTGACACCATAGCATAAATGTCTTGACATAGCCTTTTCTTCCTTAACAGTTTGTTGGGCTAAATGGTGATTGGATTCTGTCGGTCTCAGTTCTGATTAGGAGTCAGCAAATTCCCTTTGGGGTTCTCGCTCATCGTCTTGCACAGCTGACAGCTATAAAGCTGGTATCTAGTCTAACGGTATAATTTGTGAGGCTTAATTTGCTGAAAACGCACACTTGTGTTGGGAGAATAACACATTCCACATAGGATTCTGTGGTATTTTTTACCATCACATTGCTCTAACAAGTAAAGCATTCTCCACTTGCCCCCCCCATCCCACCCCCTCATCCCCCACACACCCATATGTCACGGTATTCTCCCACTCTCTGAACTTGTGCTTTAGGATCTCAAAAAGTCTCTGCTAACCAAACACTGATGCACTTGTCACAAAGCCAGAGGCCGGGGAACTCGGGTCAAAGGGAGCCTTTGCTCTCCGGTGCTTCCATGAAGATTCTTCAAGGCTCCACCACAGGGAACTCGGGATTCACCTAAATATTGGTCCACAGGGTTGGGTGAGGCAGGATGGAGAAAGCCCACCATCTAGCAATCTGAACAGCCATAGGAGCAGACCGCGGCTGGCAAACAGCTGACCCATCGGCGACCGCAGAGCCACCAAGGCAGCGGAGGAACCAGATCGGCCCCGCCATCCATCCCACCAGCGCGCGGGGCGAACGGAGCCGCTGCCCGGCCCGCGCCGGGGCCCACCCACCCACCCAGCCACCCCGCCCGGCCGCGGGGCAAACCCTGCAGGGAGGCGGCAAGCAGCTCGAGGCCGCGTCCGGGGACACCCCGCGCTGACTCTGCCTGGCCCAGCCCAGGCTCCGGTCCCCGGGAGCCGGGAGCCACTGCAGCCGCCGGCGCGGGCCGCGCAGCTCCAGGCCGCCCCCCGCCCGCGGCCCCACCCAGCCCGCCTGCGTCACAGAGCGCATGCGCGGCGCGGGGCATGCCGGGAGCCGGAGCGCGCAGTGGCGGCAGCGGCGGCGGCGACGGCACCCACAGCGGCGGCAACAGCGGGGACGCGAGCGGGGCGGTGACCGTGTGGGAGGTGGTCTCGCTCTTGGGGAAGCTGCTGGGCACCGTCGCCGCGCTGAAGGTGGTCCTGTACCTGCTCCGGGTGTGCTTAGCGATGGCCTGGAAATCCGGCGGCGCCAGCCACTCGGAGCTGATCCACAACCTTCGCAGTAAGTGCCACCCGCGCCGGGAGCGGGGCCGCCGGGGCAGGCCGGGCCTCCCCCCGGGTTCCCCCGGGCCGGGCCGTCGGGAGTGCGTCCCCCGCCCTGCCCGCTGGAGGGCTTCCTTCCGCGCAGGGTGGCACCAGTAGGTCCCCGAGCGGCGGGCGCTTGCGATCGCGTCCCCCGGGACCTGTCACTCATCGGCGACGTGGACTGGAAGGAGAGGGAGAGGGAGAGGGAGAGGGAGAGGGAGAGGGAGAGCTCCCTCCCAGCCGCTGCCGGCGGGGCCGGGGCCAGCGGCTCCCCGGAAGCCCGGGGGAGGGGGCGCGGCACAGGTGGCGGGGCTGTCACTCGAGTCCACCCGCTGCTTGTTGGGGTTTGGCGGGCGAGGGGCGTGCACGTAGGGAGGGGTGTGTGTGTGTGTGGGGGGGGTGTTAGCTAGGCCTCCGAGAGATCGAGGCCACCCCACCCCGGCCCCTCGCGCCTTCTCATCTTCCTCCTCCACGACCGACCTCGCAGCAAGCTCTCTCCTACCCTTCCTCCCCCGCCCTCCGCTTTTTCCTCCGGAGGGAGATGCCGCGCTCTGATACCGGCCGGCGGGGAGGGGCCGCGGAGGGAGAGCGCTGTCACTGCGGCTGCTGGGGAAATCCCTGGGGCCGCTGTCCAGGGAGAGCTCCGTGCGGGGCCGAGGAGGAGCTGACGAGGGGATGCCGTTCCCCAGAGGCCGGTATTTCAGTGGCCTTTGGAGATCCTGGGGTTTCTAGAGACGATTGTGTGTGGTTGGGGGAATGTTCTAACTTCTTTCAGGACTGCCATATGCTTTTGAAAGCCTTGCCTGGAAGTTTTCTTTCTATCATTCTCTTTAGTTACTTGTGTTCCCTCCTCTGATGGTGATTTTAGGTTGGGACGGGTGCTGTGTCACTTTCTTTTTTTAAAAAAATATAGTGTTGCCTTGGCTCAGTGGTTGCGCGTCGACCTATGAACCTGCAGGTCAGGGATCGATTCCGTTCCCGGCACTTGCCCGGGTTGTGGGCTTGATCCCCAGTGTGGGGCGTGCTGGAAGCAGCCCGTCATGATTCTCTCTAACTCTTTTCTTCCTCTCTGAAATAAACAAAAATATTTTTTTTAAAGAGAGAAGTAAAAAATTAACCTTAAAAAACAACACGAAGAAATATAGTGTCGCCGTCTGGTCGGGAGATCTGGATAGAGGACTCTCACTCTAGTTAGAATTTATTTCACTCTCTTTGCCACTAACTTTGCAAATAATCATATCCTGATATGTGGTATTTTAAAAAATATATATATTTTATTGATTTTGTACAGAGAGGAAGGGAGAGAGATAGAGAGTTAGAAATATCGATGAGAGAGAGTCACCGACCAGCTGCCTCTTGCACACCCCATACGGGAGATATGCCCGCAACCAAGGTACATGCCCTTGACCGGAATCGAACCCGGGACTCTTCAGTCCCCAAGCCGACGCTCTATCCATTGAGCCAAACCGGTCTCGGCTGATATGTGGTATTTTTAATTGCCATAGGTCATTTAGCTTGTTATGTATTTGTCATGTTTCCCAATTCAATTTGTAACCTCTGGGACTTTTAAAAATATATATATGAATCTACTCAAAGAACTTAATACTCATTTCATTTTTCATAAATTCCAATTAAATGTACATTATATGGTTGGTTTTATGCTGGGAATACCAGGATGAGTGAGAGAAATAACAATATCTGGCACACGGTTAGTACCTGATATTAGCCATTTGACATTTTAAGAAATGTTTTTATTGATTCCTAGAGAGAGAGGGAGAGGGAGAGATAGAAACATCAGTGGGAGAGAAACATGGATTTGCTGCTTCCTGCACATCTACTGGGGATGGAGCCTGTAACCCTGACATGTGCCCTGACGGGGAATTGAAACAGTGACCTGGTTTATGGGTGAACCCTCAACCACTGGGCCACACTGGCTGGGTACCCATTTGACTTTTTTTTTTTTTTAAGTATTTAAAACTTGGAAATTGTGGCCTTAGTGTTTAGTAATGGAGAATGTTTAGTTTTAAAACTCCCCCAAGCACCGTCAGTACTTACTGTATGGAAGAATATTTGATTGAAAGTGGTCATTTACATGCTGAGGCAGTAATAAATGTGATTTAAGTTCAATATATTGTATATGTTTTTGTAAAATTTCTTAAAATGATCTGCTTGCTATTGCAATGTCTGCTCCTGAAACATTCTATGTACAAATTGTGTTTAAGTAGTTTTCCACTGGTGAGTTATCTTAGTAGACTCTTGGCTGTGGCAGAAAGTGTAATCAATCAGGCTTTTAATGCCTCTCCTTTTGGGGCCACATTTGCAGTAAGCCAAGACTAGATCTTTCCCCGGGGGTTTTACAATCACTTTCATGTATTGTATCGCTATTCTTAGTTGAAATTTCTGAAGTTATTTTTCTATCAGCAAATTTGGTAAGAAATATTTAATATACAAATTAAATGTTGCAAAGATTTAGTTTTATGTTAGGTCTATGGTAAGAGAAAATTAGCGAACGGTAATAGCTTAGCCTTTTTTTAACACTTGTGTCACTTTAGTTTCAGCTTCTTGCTGAAGTAATTCTAACTAATGGATTTTTAAAAAATATATTTTATTGATTTTTTTACAGAGAGGAAGGGAGAGAGATAGGGAGCTAGAAACGTAGATGAGAGAGAAACATCGACCAGCTGCCTCTTGCACACCCCCTACCGGGGATGTGCCTGCAACCAATGTACATGCCCTTGTCCGGAATCGAACCTGGGACCCTTCATTCTGCAGACCGATGCTCTATCACTGAGCCAAACCGGTTTTGGCTGGATTTTCTTTTTTCATATTCGTTTGTTATATAATAAAAGTAATAGTTGCTCATGCAAAAATTTCAAATCGCATAAAATTGGAAAATGTCTCCCCTTTTCCTGGTTATTCCACTGTTATGCATTCTAATTAAATTTTTAGAAAAAGACTAAAATATGATTATGTTAATAGGAAGTGATCGGCAAGCTGGAAGAGGAAACAAATTACAGTGTTGATTTTTTTTTTTTTTTAAGAAATGAAGTTCATGATTGGTTTTGTCTTAATATGATAATTGAAAATGCTGGATTTTTCTTTCATAAGATGTACCAGAAACATGATTGTGTATGAGTTCATAGTGGACATACCACTTACAGGTTATTTTAGACTGCAATGGCATATCTCATCACAATGCTGTGATGGCAGCTGCTCTTAAGTAACTTAGAACAGTGGTCTAGAACCTAAGCATGCTTCACAATCTCCTGGGTCACAGGAGAGCTCATTAAAAACCAGTTAAGGCAGATTGCTGAGGCTCTCAAGTATTTGTACAGTTGACCCTCGAACAACACAGGTTTGAACTGAATTGGGTCGACTTATAAATGGATTTTCCCCCCAGCAAATATACAAGCAGCCCTTCGTCTCCCTGATTTGGCATTTTCAGATCCCTGATTGAAAGCATTATCTCCTATCCGTGGTTGTGAATCCGAGGATGCAGAGGGCTGACTGTGCATTATTTTCCGTCATTTTATATAAGGCACTCAAGCAAAATATCCGCGGATTTTTGTATCTGAAGGGGTTTCTGGAATTAATCCTCTGATGATACTGAGAGACAACTGCACTTATGTTTTGGGGGAATCAAAAGTTATATACAGATTTTCAGCCGGGGGTGGGGTGGGAGGGGGGTGGGGGCGGTATCAGTGCGCCTAACCGCGCTGCTGGAGGGTCAACTGTATTTCTAACGAGTTCCTAAGGAATGCTGCTGCTGGTCAGCGACTGGCCACATTTTGAGACGCTGGCGTGGAGAATTTGTGTGTAGAGAACTGAAAATTACAAGGGTAAACTCCGCCAGGGTTTCAGTTGAATCAAAGTTTTATACTTGAATAAAATAAAATTTTAAAAAACGTCCATAGCAGTCCTGCCCAGTTGAGTTCTCTGTCATGACTGTTTCTTTTCTGGTCAGTACTGTAGCCACTGGCACATGTGGTACTGAGTATTTGAAATGCGGTCAGTACAACTGAAGAACTGGATTTTTGTGTTATTTAAATTAACAAATAGTCACATGTTAATGGTTACCATACTAGACAGTTCAAGTCTGTAGAAATGAAAAATAGTTTTTTATAATTATGGGCTAAAATGTGCTCATGAAACAAATCGATGTAAAACAGCTGTAAGCATATTTAACTAGAGAAAGTGACAATGTAATGTTTGTTAATTTTCTATTTTTATGGGGATAATTTCAAGCTATGGTAAAAGTGAGGAAGAGAGAAGGGGCCGGACTGGATGAGGTTGAGAGATGAGTGTCCTAAAGCAGGTCTCCAAGCCAGAAGGTTTGTGGAAAGTTAACTCTTTTTCCCCCCTGGGCTGACATGTAGAGCAGTGAGTCACTGGGACAAAGGGTATCCTCTATAGGAATTATATTAATGCAGGTATGTGTGAGAGTAGGAAAACTCAAGAGAAAGTGCTGGAACCACAGCTAGGCACAGCTGACTCCACTAGGTATTGCTAAGCCCTTACAGCTGAGCGATTGTGCCTGCAGAGGACCAGGGCATTGAGCCCCCTGCCCTCCTCTTTGAACCATGGCAACTGCCTGCCAATCATGTTGTTTGTAGACATACTTACGATTTTTATCACACTCATCTCCATCTCACCCTAGGCTTTTTTTTTTTTTTTAATATATTTTATTAATTTTTTACAGAGAGAAGGATAGAGAGTTAGAAACATCGACCAGCTGCCTCCTGCACACTCCCTACTGGGGATATGCCCGCAACCAATGTACATGCCCTTGACCAGAATCGAACCTAGGACCTTTCAGTCCGCAGGACGACGCTCTATCCCTGAGCCACACCGGTTTCGGCTCACCCCAGGCTTCTTAAGCCCCCAATATATAACTCCCATAGAGCCTAGCATTCTCCCAAGGGTTTGAGAACATTTTACCCAAGTTTGCTTTAGTGTCTCATTTTGAACAGCGTTAAG